TCGGAGTCGGTGAATCCAGCGTTCTTGTTCGTCGTGGTCTGTTTTAAGTACTGTTTTCTTGCTGCTTGAAGTCGGCACGCGCGGGAAGAACACGTAGAAAAATAAACGTTCAGTCAGTCAGAGTTTTGAGAGGAAGGAAAACAAAGAAAATAAATGTTCGTCGGTCGCCGTCACCCAAGTAACTGGCGGCCCTGCCCTACTGCGCACGCGCAGTAGTTGCTTCGTTTACCACACGATAGATGGCGCTTGGCTCTCAGCAGAAAATGGCTAGGTGGCGTAAGCTACCGCCCGATCCAAAGGGCTCAGCCGTATTCATCCATCCATCCATCCTATCAAATTTGTCAATTTTCGCCACACATCTCTAATTATGCTACAAAATGTGGATCTGAATATTATTTAACAAAACTTTTAGGAAACATTCGCCGGCTATTTATTGTTTACGATCGCGGTGCTGGTGAGGTAGGCTCTTACCCAATAGGCGATGTGGATTCGGCTGACGTGCACCGATTCTGCGTATGCATCGTAGTGAACAGGCGAAGGAAGGAAGGCGCAAAAGAGTCCAGTTTTCTTTTAAAAGTTCTATAGCAAATAATTTTTTTGGGCTCCCTATTTTTGTGTTTTTGTGTTTCTTTTCACACCTTTTACGACGTGCGGTGGATGAAACTCGATTTTAAAATCATTTCATGGTCCCTTTAACTCCGATAAAAACTCAAAATACAGCACCGCGGTTGACGGCATCCAGCGGAGGCATTGCGAAGCTGAGTTTTTGTCGTAAAAGCACATTTTGGACTTAAAACAAAACTAAACGTAAGTTATCTCGTCTTTACTGTTATTAAAGATCAATAATCAATTATTTTTGCCCGATACTTTGTTAAAACCTAGACGCAAACACTATAAGGTCACGTGTCTAGTGGTCAAAATGTGAAACATGGCGGCGGCCAATGGACCTTTTCCAAATACCGACGGCACCAGGCGGTGGCTGCACGATCTAAAAATCGAGGAAGTGACCTACCTGCACTACCAATCGATAATGGGAGCTACGCTACCAGTTGCTTCGCTCTCTGAGCTGCGTCGCGCGCGCCCAACGCGACTTTAAAGAGGGAAATCCGTAGCGTCCCCCAAACGTCGTGTTTTTGTTTTCGCCCACTTTCTTTTTTTGTGTAACACAATTATATATATGCTGCAATTACGTGTTCTACTCGTCGATCTACAGCCTCATTCCGAATTTCCTCGATTTTTCGTGCCGACTTCCACCGCTTGGCGTCGGGCGCTCGCGCGTGCGCAGAACGCTTCTCGGAAAAGGTCCATTGGGGGTCACTTTCAGCTGCCAGTTTATCGCTCTCTAGCCCGTTGACTGAGTAGACCACTGATCTCTATGACAATTGCTGGATCGCGCTTCCCCGCTTGTTCGCTGCAGCGCAAGTGAAGCCACCGGACTTCACTCGCTTGGGATATGATTTGCCGTTTTTGCTAGCCCTTGCTGCGGTTTTCCAGCGTGCTGTGGACACGTTTTCTACTCTTTCGTCGTCATTCGCCGAAGAAGTTTTTTGAAGACTCTGTGTATTGTTGAGACTTGCCGTCGTGAACACGTGGAAAATTTTACGAAAGTGCAGTGTCGCAGGAAAAAGGCACAACGCGTCGAAAGGAAGGGCTGGCGGCGTGTTCAAAGCTTCCTTGGCACGCCGAAGTGCCGTGTCTCTGTGCCTTCGCACGCTTGGATACCGACCAAGAACCGACGCCGTGTGTATGTGTAGCGAGTGCAATGTGCGTGAAGCTGTTCGTGCCTCTGGATCAGCGTCTTTTCCCCTCGCGGTTTAGGAACGAGCTTAATCCAGCGTCCACTAGCGACGGAAGATGGGGGGAAGGTACGTCTTTTTTTCGTCCTTAGACGATTTACACAATACCGTGCACAACAGCTCCTCATCACTGATCAGTGCTGGCTTATTATCAACCTACTTAATTGCACTTGACGTTTGAGCGCGGCTCGCCTAATTGTAATTGGTCAGCAGGTTGCACACGACCATATCGGCCGCGCTTCAAAGATTTTCATTCTCGCCGTCTTGTACTTTTGCTTTCGAAAACCCCCCTGGCTCCACAACGTTGCCCTATTCGTGCTCCCACGGAATCTATTAGAGTAGATTTGGGACATAGCCATGGTTAATATAGTGCATAAGAACACGTACCGGAACAGCTGGACGATCCAGAACTCCGTGGCCGATATATATAAATGATCTAAAGGCTTCTACGCGCGACACACGTTCAGAACTTTGGCGCGGCGTCAATTCTTGACCGGTATCCAAGCGTGCGAAGGCACGAAGATGCATCACTCGGCGTGCCAAGGAAGCTTTGATCACGCCGCGACACCGGCGACACTTGTTTTCGACGAGTTGTACCTTTTGATACGGCTTCACGCACATTGCACTCGCAAAACACATCCACACAGCGTCGGTTCTTGGTCGGTATCGAAGCGTGCGAAGGCACAGAGACACGGCACTTCGGCGTGCCAAGGAAGCTTTGAACACGCCGCCAGCCCTTCCTTTCGACGCGTTGTGCCTTTTTCCTGCGACACTGCACTTTCGTAAAATTTTCCACGTGTTCACGACGGCAAGTCTCAACAATGCACAGAGTCTTCAAAAAACTTCTTCGGCGAATGACGACGAACGAGTAGAAAACGTGTCCACAGCACGCTGGAAAACCGCAGCAAAGGCTAGCAAAAACGGCAAATCGTATCCCAAGCGAGTGAAGTCCGGTGGCTTCACTTGCGGGAGCGGCAAGCGCGATCCAGCAATTGTCATTGAGATCATCATGGAGAATAGAAGGGTAGGAGAGGGCATGACGTCGGCCGCGTAGCCTCCACAAGCCATGCTCCCTCGACGCCTCGCCTCTTTCTCATTTCCCTCCTTACTCTCCTCACTTACCATGCCAACGTGACCACATCACGTGACCGTAGCTAGCATTGGTCTTGCTATGGGGTACTAGAATACACCACAGTCTAGCCTTCGATCTGATAAAACCTACCGGACGGAGCGCGCGCAAGCCTGGAAGGGGTCCTTCTACAATCAACCATCCATCTCACACGTGACATGTCACGCGCACCAATCACCAGGCAGATCTGCGGTCACGCTGGGCACAAAATCGTTTAAACTTTTTATGACTAGGCCTCACCAATATTGCAACGTGCCCCCTCCTAGTACTTCTAACCTCCTTGGAGATCATGTTCCAAATCTTACCCTAGTAACCTGCCTCCTACGTCAGCGGGTAATACCACGTGACATCGCGAGTAAACGATCCGCGACTCGATTTTGGAACGGCCGGGATAATTACCTGGATACTATGCGGATTGGCTTTGTCTTGGGCTACGGCAAAAAGAAAACGCAGCAGCGATGGCAGAATATAGCAGACGATCCTTTTGATCATTGAGAAAGCCCTCGAAGAACGATAATATTAATGACGACGCAGTGTTTTTTGAGGTGGATCCACCAGCTCCTTTTACTCACCTTCCTTTTGAGCTGTATATTCAGATCAAAATTACTTACTCCTTACAGTTAGACATAAAAAAAAAAAAGTTTTTAATAATCAGCGCGATCGCTGCAATTCTAGTCACGGTGCCCTAAACCAGGGTGTAAGATAGACAGGTGGGGAAACGGCCCATAGAAACCTACCGCAGCGCCGTGACCGGATTGTGTACTCGTCTGCTTGCGGGTGGCTTGCGGGTACCCCCGATTTGCGACAGATGGCAGTGCGGCGAGAAGAAAAAAATTGGAATCAAATTTGCATGGAACTCTATGGGAGAGTGCGCAAAATAAACTGAAAGGACGACAGTCCTCCATTGAAAATCCACGAGAAACCTTCTCCGTCAGTTTAACCGGTCGCTAGCGTTCGCCCACCTGGAGTGAGAGTTCGCGGTGCTCCACATAGATGGCGCCACAGAAAAAGAGAAAACCGAGGGGGACACAATGCGGTCCCTCATTTGGCTCTCGTTTCACCACCTGTCTATCTTACACCCTGCCCTAAACGCATATATTCCATGCATTGTAATTTTCACCGATTATGTTTTGCAGAAATTTCTTTCACACGGTGTAGCGGTACAGCGCGAGGGTGCTTTCTCCAGAATATGAAACACACGTTCGCTTTGACGCGAATGTGATTACAGTGAAATTTTCGAAGCCTTCACTGCTTTACAAGCGTTATCCTCTCATTACACACACCCTGGAGGAAACAAAAATACTACATTATCATATGCTGCGTTCAAACATTTTCGGCCTTGAACGTGAGAATACGGCATTCCCCCCAACGCCGAGGACGAGGATACGGAGAAGCTCCTCTTTACGCTCGCACTCAGATAATAACAAGTATACCTTCCCCGGGAAGGTGGACGGTCTGGATGTAATGCAGTCAATATCCTTCGTTGAAAACAGCTAATCGCAATAACCGCACATGCTGCATCTAATTCTTTGTTATTTCGGACGTCCGCCACCAAAACCAACGGAGCAAGCGAGCTTTGACGGATGTCGGCGCAGAAAGCAGACGACGAACAGATCACGTGACATATTTACTCAATTTGATCCGACTTTACCCCCCGATCGAGGAGGGTAGCGTGAGTAATTACTCCGGAGTAAACAACCCGCTTCTGGAATGCGAGTTTTGACGTCATCGAGTAAGTTCGAGTAAGTTTTGGAACGCCAAGGAACGAAACTTTTACTCGAGAGTCGGATCGAGTAAATTTTGGAACACAGCCCTTATGTCCAAGCGCGGACGATGATATGAGCCAAAGGGCCAATAAAACAGCGCAAAAAGCGCAACGTCATGGCGTGCTCTCCGCGCACAGAGAGACGGCGAATACCAGCTAGTCCTATCAACTGCAGGGTGCACGCCACGACGTTGTGCCTCTTTCGCTGTTTGATTGGCCCTTCGGCTCATAACATCGGCAGCGCTCGGCCCGAGGCAGTTAGTATGTATGATCTCGATTAGAAGCAAAAATAAAAGCGCGATGAATTTACCCCCCGCCAGCAGTAGGGCTGCCGAGGCTCTCGATGAGGTTCTTTTTCCTCTTTCGAGGAAAAAGAACCTCACTTGCGCCATCTAGCCCATGTGACATAGACTTCAAACATGCGGGTAGCGAGAGCCAGCGAGTGGCAGCGCAGGTTTGTATGTCTAGCATCGTTCCAAGGAAGCGTCTGCTACGTTTTCGGGCTTTCGTGCGCCATTCTATTTTAGTTCCAAAACCGCAAAACGTTCGTGGGACTTTCACTTTCACCACTTTTAACGAAAGCGGTGAGTATAAAAGATTCCTGGCAAGTAATGCTTGCCCTTCGAACCGAGACTGCGTATCGAATTCGCGCGAGGTGGTCGAAAAAGTTACGTGCGTAATACGTATGACTTTCAGTCGCCTTGAACGTGTTGCAACGTATGCCTTGAGACCAACGTTGTTGATACCGATCAACACGTTCGACAGTCCGTTAGATGATGGAAATAGGTATCAGTTCCAAACTCAGCATACGGCCGCGTTTTACGCTTCTCTGTGACTAGGCGCTATGCTGTAAATGAACAACCGCAATGCTGGCGTGTACGGCTACCTTTTTTGGGACGCCGCTACAAATAAAGCTTTTGGTATGCGTGCCACTAATCTACATTTCGCTTCACGAGCGGCGACCCGTGAGAACTCTTGCAAGTATAGTGGAGCGTTTTAAAGAACGGAGCACCGTTTACAGTTCCATGTTAACTCAAAATTTTCAGAACGTTCTGGTGGGCAAAGGATCTCCAAGGTACGCAGGCAAAGGTCGAGGATCGAGAGCTGCACGCATTTTTACTCTATACAAAACTGAAAAAAGTTTAAGCTAAAATTGACTTTTTTTTTTTTTTTTTTTAATTTACACATGGACCCCGGTGCTGTAGCAGAAGACCATCGCATGATCACGGCATTACTCTTACCTCCTCTCCCCTTCTTACAGCGCACTCATCGGCAAGAATGGACGATGATAAAATAGGCAAGCTTATTCCTTTGGTTCTTCCTTTTATGTTGAGAACCAGATATATATATATATATTTTTTAATGTTATTTTTCACCCTTTACCATTTAATCATGCTGTTCTGTGCCCAATTCTATACATGTCAAATGACTACAGCACTTCACTATTACATGCGTCCAAAAAAAGTAAAGTACTCATGCACAATACTCCACTCTTTTCATTTCACATAAGACCATGGAAATATGTTCTGGACATTTGATCACAAAAGCTTAGAATACATGCAAGCTGGGTTTTGCATACAAAAAATCAGACAAATGCAAGCACAAATGTGCATTGCAGAGGCAAACAGTGGCCACATAAGGGGTGCCAGTGAAGTCCATGGCCATGCCAGGCTCAGTATGCAGGATGACAGCTACATTCAAGACGCCATCCCGAAGAACAGTCTCAGTTGAGTTGTTCACCTATTGGCATGTAGGGATAGTGCATGTCGGCATATACTCACAGGTAATCTTGAAACTGCAGATTCCACACGGAAAATCAATAAGCTGGACATCGAGTATGTGAGCAAGGAAGTGGTGGAATGGCGGGACTTGGCGAGGCTGCTGCCAGGTAGTAGGGTATCGTAAATGCTTCGATGTGCAAGTAGCATTGAAAGTAGACGGAAGGTCCTACTATATAGCATGGCGAAAATACCTAGAGCTTAAATTGTATGGTGCTACTCTACACCTTCTCCACTGCATCAATACCAATGTGCTTTGCTCTGTTCAGCCTCAAGTCAGTCTTAATAAAATTTGGGCATTGATGCAATACCCACATTGTAGAATATGGGTGTTGTACTTTTTTGTGTGAAAACTAGGACTTACTATTTGCATTTTCAGCAACCTGAGACAGTGCTCTATATTTACACTGCAGCAATGTGCCTCAATCAATTTGCATGGCTTTAGAAAATGGAATTTTGATCAGAAAATGCATTAAGCAATATATAAACCTAGCAGATGTACTGAAGCATGCCTGGAACAGAAGTTAGATCTGAAAGACAGGCAGAAGAGCATTCCCTCGGATTCAACAGCAAAGTGCGAATTGACTGACAATTTCCTACAGCTGTACGACATGATTGAGCATTTCAATTACTACATACACCAGAAATGATGGCAGCATTTCTTTCTTGTCTGTACTGCCTTGCTAAAAATGCAAAATCAATGATCATTATCCCTTCACTCATGCAAATTAGTGTTGAGCATTGAACATTGCATGTCTGGATGTTGCACAGACATATATTCCCATGCATTAATAATTCTGGAGTGGTTGTTAACCAGCATGAGCCAAAATGAAACAAGCCTGTAACTGCTGCAAGGTACTATGTTTTGTTCCTAGTTGACATCATTCCTATCCTGCAAGCTTTGCACATGAAGTGAACCATAGTTTTTGTTGCTATCGGCAGAGGAGCCAATCACAGAGGAGGAGCTCCACTACATCAGACTGCAGCATCACAGCGCAAGCGAGAGGGTAAAGAACATTCTTGAGCTTTGGAGGAACAAGTGCCATGGCAGTGCAACGCTGGGCAGCCTCGTCGAATCTCTGCACTTGCTGGGCTACAGTGAGCTGGCCATGATGCTCCAGCCGTAAGCAAGTTTGTACAGGATTGTTTGACTGGGCTACCCTTAGTGATAACGCCACAGACTTGCCTGCCCAACTACGGAAACCAGCAGCAATGCCCAAAGATTGATTTGTTTTAAGGATGCACAACCACACTGCAGTCCTCAGTCCTTGCACCATGAGTGTTACAAAGTTCGGGATTAGAATGTTCTGAATAGACTCCTTTCGAAATTGTGAAATGATGCATAGACCATGCGCAGCCGCCATTCGTTGGTCTCACCGCTTCTGGCGTGAAGGCCGTGATTGGTTCAGAGTTCGCGGAGAATGCGTTTCGATCCAAATACACCCCGAATGATGACGAAGCACTTGTGTCTAGTGCGTGCTCACAGCGCATGACCAACTAATGGCGGCCGCACATAATCTATGCATCATTTCGAAATTTAGAAAAGGGACTATTATGGCAAGATCTCACATGAGCAAACTGTACTGACATAAAGCTGTCATAGCAGTGGGGTGTTTTCAGATAAGATCAAACAACCATGTCCGATGACCATTTTAATTGTGATGAAAAAAAAAATTATTTTGCTGGCTCCATGCCAGGAAGAATAAAAACAATTCTTGTTTTGGGGAAAAAAAACTTGTCTTTGCGAAAAAAATTTGTAAGCACCCTCTCAGTCACGTGCGCGTTTTGCATATTGCGCGATGTTGGCATTTTGGGCGGCTTCCCCAAAAAAACTGTTCTGGCTACAAGTCTAGAAATATTTACTGACAAACTAGGTGTAGGAAGGATTGACAAAAAATATGAATCACCGAGTATTAGGGTCGTTATTTTGAGAAACAATCACAAATACGGCACATTGCGCAATAACGCTCTGGATTAAAGATTTTTTTTCTCTGTAAATATAAAAGCTAAGGTCTTCAAACTTTGCCAGTGTGTTGCTCTGTATATAGTTCACCGGTGCATAAAATGTCGGTCTTGGTTAGCGGCAGAAATTTAGAAGAATTTTTCAGAGTGGCATTTAACTAAAAATGCATATTTTGAAAATCATTTAAAAGAAAAGGCCATCTTTAATTTTCTTCAAACTCTCCGATATTAACATTCATGATATGTACTAGCAGAATCTGCAAAAACAATGCAATATGTCTGTGGCTTTAAAGTTATAAAGCAAGAAATATGGCAGAATTCACGCTAATGCGGTTGCCTTAAATGGGGCGTGCACATACCCATTCTTCACCCACCACTCTGACATGCACTTCGCGTTTCTTATCTTCCCTTCTCCCCCCTTCTCCTCCTGGGTATAGTCGGCTGCTCGCTGTTGAAAGTTTACTCGTCTGTTGCTAGTTGAAAGATGTGGTTGTGCTGTCCCTGTTTAATTGTTTTATTCTTCCTTCATCCATGGCCATTCTTCACAATTTCATTATTATTAAAAAGCGTAAAAATGCTACAGGGTGGTCCGGAAAATACAAACTGACAGCACAGAGGTGTACGGTAGTTTTGGAGGAAAAAGTCCTAATACATTTTTGTACAACCGACCAAAAAACGCCCATTGGCCAAAGCGATCGAGAGGCGCTTCCCGGTAACATGCTTCGCGGTGCCAGTTTCAACATCCGACGTAAATTCGCGTAGACAAATTTACGTCACGCACCTGTAGTCTTTTGTATGAATACTTATTTTTCCCGAACTCCTGTCGCAATGTTTCTCTTCACAGGCTTTCTACATTTTTCGACCACTTTCTTGCCCTTGTTTGAAATCAGCAATGTCCTATCTTTCTCTACCCCTGTTACGGCAATTCTGTGTATTTAGCGCTCTGTAAATTCTAAAGTATGAAAGATATTGCAAAGCAATTTTGAAAGGCCTGATAGGACAAATTATAAGCCTTGATCTGTGAAAAGTAAAATAAAAATTTAGATGGCCTTCCTTTTAAACTGATTTTCCAATTATTACGAAATCGGTAACCTGTCTACATTTCAGTGTATTTTTTTTAGAAAGGTTATTGTTTTCAATTTCAAAAACAATTTATCCGAATTTTAAACAAATGCGTCCAAATCATGTTAAAAAAATTTGAATGTAGTCTTTTAAGATCCGGATTTATAAAGCTCTGAATTGCTTAGTAATCGATAATACATGTTTGCCTCCTTTTATTTTATGTAGTCTCTGCACAAAAAAAAATAAATAAAACCTAAGGCGACAAGTTTTTCTTTTCATAAATATCCAAAGGGACGGTTTCACGCAAGTCTCAAAAATGTGCGCGTATACCGGCAGCAATTTTGTGATTTTTGTTCCTCAAGATTATTTCCCGCAAAAAATGTTTGAATATGTTTTTGCGGTTGTACAAGTAAAATATATCTTTTGGTAAAAATTTAAAAAAGTCGACCGGATATGGTTTATTGATCATAACTGAAAACGCCCAATACAGACAATCTCAGTCAATCGAAATTCTTGGTTTTTTGCACCATTTTTGTTTTTTTGGCGTTGTGCCGCCCTCCTCATAGACTGTGCAGGTTCAGGTTCTCCCGCGTCTTACCTCCTAATCATGTTACCACCAAGGTTGTAGGCTGATCTGTTTGCAAAGTTGTTCCGGTTGCTTTCTTCATGTCGCATAAATGGGGACGCTAGATGCCGGCTGTTGAAACAGGCACCGCAAAGCATGTTACAGGGTGGCGCTTCTCGATCGCTCCGGCCCATGGGCATTTTTGGGTCAGTTGTATAAAAATGTATTAGGAATTTTCCCTTCAAAACTACTGTCCACCTCTGTGCTGACAAATTTGTCTTTTCCTGACCACCACTTAGCAAATTTACGCTTTTTAATAATAATGAAATTGTAAAGAATTGTTATGTCCACGCCCCATTTATGGCAACCGCGTTACGTCAATTTGGCCATATTTCTCGCTTTATAACTTCAAAGCCACACTAATATTGCATTATGTTTTTGCATATTCCAAAAACATATTATAAATGTTAATATCGACAAGTTTAAAGAAAATTAAAGACAATTTTTTTTTTAAATGATTTTCAAAATAATGAAATTTTTGACTTGAGAAATTCTTGTAAATTTATCCCGTTAACCAGGACAACAATATTTCATGCACAGATGAACTATATACAGGGCAACACTCTGGCAAAGTTTGAAGACCTTAGCTTTATTTAGATACGGAGAGAAAAAAATCTTTAATTTAGAGCGTTATTCCTCAGTGTGCAGTGTTTGCGATTTTGTTTCTCAAAATAACGACCCCAATACTCGGTGGTTAATACTTTTCTTCAATCCTTCCTATGCCTAATTTGTCAGTAAATATTTCTACGCCCGTAGCCGGAACAATTTCTTTCAGGGAAACCGCCCGAAATGCCAACCATCGCATGATATGCAAAACGCTCACGTGACGGAGAGGGTGCTTACAAATTGTTTTTCCGAAGACAAATTTTTTTCCCCGAAACAAGGCTTGTTTTTATTCTTCTCGACATGCAGCCAGCAAAATATTTTTTTTTTCATCAAAATTAAAAATGGTCACTAGACATGGTTGTTCGATCTTATCTGAAAACACCCAGTGAATCTTTCAGAAGTCTCTCGTGAGAATGGTTATGCATAACAAACCTTGTTTCATGAACAAGATTCCTAGAGCCTTCAGAGTTTGCTGTGGCCAGTTACCAAGCAACCCCAATATAGTATTCTAATTTTTGTCTGCTGTATATCAGACACATCAAACCAAAGAAATAGGGAAAGCCTAATGTCCCATCCTACACCATAGCTTTTTAAGAGAGAACAGACTTGAGTGAGAAAAATATCAGCATCAGACATTTAACTGCCGTAACGACGGCAAAGAAAACCTGCATTCTGTGTCATTGTGCCTTTTTTATACAGGGTGTTTCACGAAAAGTGAAGAAATTCGATAGTCCGAAAACTATGCGTCGCAACAAAAAAAGGCTTATGTTGTTTTTGTCCTGGGTTAGGGGCTCATTTAGGGAAATTATTAAATTTTGGGATAATTAAGTAGAATTATTTTTGTGTAATTAGCATTTTGAATGTGTTGAAGGGCATGGTTTCAATTAGAAAATTGCTCAGCATCATCGTAAAACACTAAATCAACAAAATGCAGAATGATAGAAGGCATGCGCAGCATTTTATGGCTTTCTAAAAAATCGCACAAATTCAAATGCGGTTTTTCAGAAAGCTATAAAATGCTGCGTGTGCCTTCTATCATTCTGCATCTTGTTGATTTAATGTTTTTTGGTGATGTTGAGCAATTTTTTAATGGAAACCATGCCCTTAAACACAATATTAAAAATGTTAATTACACAAAAGTAATGAACAATCTAATTATCCCATACTTTAATAATTTTCCTAAATAGGCCTCTGGTCCAGGGCCAAAACGACACCAGCCTTTTTTTTTGTTGTGACGATTAGTTTTCGCAACATCGAATTTGTCCACTTTTCGTGAAACACCCTGTATATCATGCACCCTGGAGCCCACTAATGCCTTTCTAATGCCTGCCTGAAATGTTTAGATAAACTGTCATAATGGAATAACCCAATCCTTTGTACAGTGTAGGAAACAGTAGTGTTTGTAGATGTTGTGGCTTTCTGCAGAATATTACTCAGCAGTGTACTGTTTATGCATTTGGAGGTTTTGCTAATCAGTGAATGAAGATCATTGTAGGGACTATTGTCAAGGGGCAGTATGTTGCAGGACCAGAGGTGGCGGAGCAACTCATAGAATAGAGCAGTTCATCACCGTTTGAAACTGTCATTTCCTTTGAACTGTCAAGTTGTCTTTCCTACAAGGCCCAAAATCAAAGGCAAGCACAGGAACAGCACCAGAATGTCTTCTGTGGAAAGCATTTTCGTCATGGGGCTCTATAAAATATTGAGGGTACAATTTTCATTATTTTCTAGGACAACTTTTCCTAGGATAATTTTCCTTTATAGGGTGTTTTCACATGATGTCAATCCGCCATTTTGTTGTTTGTTTCTTCAAACAAATTTACTAATTTGGAGGATTACCTACATTGCAACCTGTTGAGGAGATGTCAGCTTGGTAAGACTTAAAAACTTCTGTGCTCTACACATTTGAGAGGTCATGTAAATCCTTCGAACGCTCGCATTCGGCACATGCCATACAGCTCACAGCAACAAAATGGTGGACCAAATTACATCAGTAAAAACACCCTATAACAGTGAGTTGCACTGCTACCAGCTCCCCTGTGAGCAACTTGAACCAACTAGGTATGCTGTACAGAGCACGACACTATTGGCCTGGACATGGAATCGGCAATTTCCCGTTTGTTCACACACCTAAAGGGTTGCTATGAAAGCTAGCATTGTTTGTGTGCAGCAACAACCTGGGTAGGAAAGTTCCACGTTCAACCTAAGCTGCACAGGCAGCTTAGGTTGAATGCTGACCAACTGCAGAGTTCGCATTCAGGTCAACTCGTCTGTGCACCGTACGACTGTACCCCTAAAAACAATCCAAGCCCGTGCTTGCCTTGCCTAGTGGCTATATGAAATCTCGGGCAACTGACCAATACCTGTGGTCTGTATTGACGTTCCTTTACTTTTATAAGGAGACGACACAACAAAAGTTACCCAGAACAAACATATACGGTAATTGTTGCAGAAGGTCTGCTGAAGTGTTACTTTTATGGTTGTTGCATCACTTATGGACTCTGTGTACTTGGACAATAAATGCGAGTGCTTCCACCTTAAAAGATAGAAGTATTTGCCAGAGGTACTTATATACAAATATTGCCCCCCTTTGTTTTTTTTTCACATCTTTTTTTTTTTTTTATTAACTCGTAAATCTTTTTGATGATGTCATAAAGACCGTTTTTCATAAATAGTATGTACATTTGATCTCGCTAACACTGCAAAACCAATTTGTGCCAACGAAGCATTATTTCGTTGTAAGAGATCACAAGAACTCGGTCGTTAGCAAATGCAACTGTGTTTTTTAACCTGCAAATGAAAACCCGAGAAGTACTGAGAACACCTTACCTCACTGCACAAAACTTAACAAAAAAAAAAAAAATCTGCAAACTATTTTTGTGATAAGCCTTTTACAGAAAAATTATAATTCTAATTGGTACTGACTGGGAGGAATTACTTTAGAACCTCCCTATGGTATAGCCAGTTTTTCAGGAAAAATGTTCACCGCCAGTATTTTCTATACCAGTACCTCGAATACCAGTATTACAAGCTCGCTTGAGCTTTGCACCGCTCTATCCATATCTTTGCTATATGTGTCAGTCTTTACTACAGTGAGCTTGTACGGTAAGTGCTAAATCATGTGCAAAGTCAAAATAGATACGAAAGCTCGAGGGGCCAAAATCAAGTACAAGTATAGCGACATGAAAGACACTTGGGAGGCTTTGCATAAATTCAACAAGACCAAGACCACATCTGAATGGTACAATTTATGTCAATGCACCACCTAAATCCTTCTTTTCTTCATTTTTTGGAAAGCTACGATTGCAGGGTTGTTTCTCGGTGAGGTACCCCATTCGCACGAGTCGGTGCAGTATAAGCTTGCAGAGGTAACTGCTTGTATTCAGAAGTTTCTAAGACTGCTGAATGGAATATTACCAGTGACCAGCAGCAATACTGAAAGCACAAAAGGTCTACATGATTCTCATCTGCTGCTTGCAACAATTGGAAAGAAGGCATGCAGGTTCATAAACGGTGCACATTTAGTAAATAGAACCTAGTGTGGTAAATCAACCTTTAAACTTGGAAGCTATGCTGCTGTAAGCCAGCTAAAGGGAAAGAGATATTCATCAGCAGTTGTCTAAACAACCCGAAATTACGGCCCCGAAATTCTATTTTTTTCCGAAAAAATGCATTTTCAAAAAATATTATATTTGGGTTCACTATGTTCTGAAGCATAGTTTCAGAAAGTTTTATTTATAAATGCGCAGTATTTATTTCGAACTCGCGGTACGTCTAGGCGTCTTTGGAAAAGACTGTGGCATCAGTTTCACAAAGCTCACGAATCTCTTCGGGGGCCTCAACGCACTGCCCTCCTCATGCTCATGTAGTTGAAGGTGTCACCAATGACTCGGGTAAATTTCGAGTTTCTGGCATCGTCCGAAAAAAAAAAAAAAAAAAAAAACAAGTTGAAACTTTAAACGCATTTTTCTCAGTTTCACTTTTTGGCAGGAATTCTTGTTTTAGGAAAGCTATCGTTTGACATTCTGAATACAGAGGGACATCATTTAAGGTTTTCTGGGACTGAAATTTTCTGTCTGGGGAACAAGATAGACTACTTCACAGTTTAAAAAATCTACTCTTTCATGAAAAAAAAAAAATTTTTTTTTAAACAAAAAATTTACATTTTCTTTTTAAATTTTGGGATGTTCTTATTTTTGTTATAATTGAATATTTTGCAATTTATTATTTATCTAGGTTGCACTGTGGGTATTGTTCTTCACATTAAAGCAAAAAGTTTGCCACCAGCTAATTTTATTTTTCTACGATAGACTTCCTAATGAAGTGTCTTTTTTCTCAAGTGCGAGAACCGTAGCATACTGTAAAGTTGACCAATAATGCTAAAACTTTGCAGATTATCCTTCCTCATAGTGCTGAAATAACCCTCAAATTTTGAACCAAATTGGGCAAAGGGTTCAGAAGTTGACCCTCCCAGGCCATATCCCCCCTTAAAGCAAAAAAAAAAAAAAAAAAAAATTGTTAACTCCCGATTAGCATTGTGACCATGTATGACAAAGTTCTGCCACAGCACTAAGCATAGGTACAATGTCTGCAGTTTATTAGCATATGCATAAAAAAGTGCATTATAAGCAACAATACAAAATAATTATTATAGAGAAGCTGCTATACACACAGCAATTGGCTTCGGAAGGCACTTGCCAACGTCTTCTTTTGCTAACAGATCCTTATGGAGCTCTTCCCAACAATAGTCAGGAATCCGTCATCTTGCAAGTCCTTCAGGGCATCTTCAAACATCTCTCTCGTTATCATCTACAAAGAACAAATTACTTGTTAGGTTTGCGGTGCTGCAAAGAAAATGCCTAGAAAGCAAATAACAATGGAACATCGCTGATATGACCTTGGTTCTCTTTTCTCCCAGTTTGTTAAAATCTTGGATGTCAGTCCTGTTTCAATCACAATACATCTGGCACATTAGCTAGTTACATCCAGGATTTATTTTACCAATCCATGTAAAAGCTAAGATGCGAATGTGACAATTTTGTTGCACACTAAACTGCTGTTCGACCAAAGAAAGGGTGGAAGTCAACGGCTCCTACTTGGTTTCATGGCATGGTTTTCCAAGCTGTTTGAAGCAGGTAACAATGAAGGGAAGGAGGATGGTGGTCCAAAAATTTTTAGTTATGCACACCCGCTGCATGAAAAGATGTGCGAGTTCTACGAACAAGCTTCAAATTCTCAGCAACACTTTGAAGCCTTTTGAAGTACTCGTGTCGAAATATATGACTTAAGAAAAGCTGCTCGGGTGTTTTCCAATTATCATTTTTTGTTTTACCAATGAAAGATGTGTTATCTGTTGCAGTAACCCGGGTTGCATGTTTTCCTGCCATGTTCCACTAAAAAAATTTGTAATTCGATCCTACTGTGCTCCCATTTCGAAACACTGTACACTTGGAAAGTGGCAGTGAGGCAGCAAGATCGGACACTGTCAGAGGGTTGATTTCGAAACATAAATTTGTTACCGCAGGTGGAACTTGTGTCCTCACTCACCCAATTCCAAGGATATGTTCCACATGCACTACCATGCCTGCCTATTTTCCAGGAAGCCTCCCATAGTTAATGCACAGCCCAGTAGCCCAAGCCAGGCCTTACCAGATCAGACTGCTCCTTGAATTCGGTGAACACCTTCTGGTAGGCGAGGCTCTGGGCCTTGGTCTTCGCCTTGGACTCGAGCATCTTGCGCAGAGCAACTGCTAGCTCCGCACGGCGCCGGCGAGATGAGGCACTCATGCCCGTCGTGAGGATGGAGACGTCGATCTTTCCCGAGACAGGATCAGTGGCCGACTGTTTCAGGGCCTCTCTGTGAAGCCTAAAGCAAGCACATTCCACGGAATGATTGTTCAGAGTAACTCCACTCTTAGTAACAAGTACGAGACCTGTAAAACGAGTAAGCATTCCTGTCTTTCTGTCCCATATTCATTTATGTGTGCTCACCCATCACTATATATGGAAGAACCTCATCGACACATTCTTGGCTTGTACATTTTCTCGAATGCTACGTTATGACCACCAGTCACATTGACCTCCCATAGGAATATGCGTATCAATTTTCTGTTTGTTATGTTTGCTTTCCCGGACCCCGCATCAAAAATTGCCACCCGACGCCACCAACGGCAGACCAGAAAACCATATCTGCATATATCCCAGCAACTTGCAGTGTGAAACAGGAAAACATTGGCAGCACAAAACTTAAAAGGCCCATCAGGTGAGGAATATTATGCCATTACAACACTAGGATTATTTGGCCTAAAAGCAGATGGAACGCACTCTCATCTACACTCTAGAAAATGTAGGCCCAGGTATCTGCCCAAATGCTTACCGTTTGGCCTCCTCCACGTCGACAAGCTCAACGACACTGGAAAAGCGCACTTTGGCGTGAGCCTCAGCCAGACGAATCAGCGACTCCAGCTGGCGTGGGAAAGCAGAGATCTGGCCACGGCCACTTCCTACACGGCGCATCTCCACATAGGCCTCAATGAGGGCTTGGCCAGCCTCTTCACTCATTTGCGGTTGCACATAGGTGCGTGCATATGCAATGTAGTCCTTCATAAGGCTGAGTTCCTGCGAGACAAAATTGACCGCCTCGATGACGGGGCATTGCCGACAAACGCTCGTCTGTATTCGCTGATGCCCCAAATTGATTGAGAGACAGGCGTTTTGAGAAATTAACAAAAGTTGGCATTTACTGAAGTTCGGGTCTTGTGAGCCAACACAGATGACTGAAACCGGCTTTGAAGTTAACTAGGGTTACATTTGAGGTAGGGGGGAGGCTACATTTAGGACACTTTTACAATGTATTCAGCAAGAGATGCAAAGGTATTTGCAACCTTCTCCATCTTATGTTACATTCAGGTACCCAGCATACACTCACTGACCCAGTGAAATAATAACAAGCAGCTATAGTATGAGGGCCATGCATCAGAGTATTGAAGCAATTCATGCTAGAATTTCCCAGCAGCTGAATAGAGCTGACCCTCATTGAGTGTTAAAAGCGGCACTCCAATGCCAATCGCAACACCCAAATTATCATTATCGGTCTCCACTGTTGGATGTGGTGAAGCGATCCTTAGGCCTGCCAAACGCTGGCCAGCACCACCTATTACAAAGCTGACAGCCTTCTGAATCCCAACTATAACAGAAGATAGCCCACCATTTGCTCTTCCTCAACTTCCGCTTGCTGCTTGTAGTAAAGAGAGACCAAGTGACGTGCAAGTCTCTGGTCGTACCGGGGATCTTGAGGGTCCAGCATCAGGAAAATAAGGTCAAACCTAGAACCCCACAAGTGACACCTTACATTAGGAACAAGTCCTCGGCAGCTCCTGCAGAATATCCCGCGTATCTGAAGCGAGCTTGCCTGGACAGCAGCGTGTGCGGAAGCTGGATGTTCTCAATAATGGTCCTGTTTGTGTTCCACTGTGACTCGACCGGATTGGCAGCTGCCAGGATGGATGTTCTTGCATTCAGCTGGCAGATAATGCCCGCTTTGGCAATGGAGAGAGTTTGTTGCTCCTGTAAATGTAGCCCATACCCTATAGTAGAGTGCAGAGGCAAACACGAGCAACTTTGAACAATTGACCACTCACCATTACTTCATGCAAGATGGACCTTGTCGAGTCGCTCATCTTGTCAAACTCATCGATGCAGCAGATGCCATTGTCGCTCAAGACCAGTGCTCCCCTGTGAAAAAAAAGAGACAGCATGAAAGCACTTCACTTTTTCGACGGGTCCCAAGGGACTCTGTGACATGCCGAGAACCTTACGTTTGCAGGACAAGCTGACGTGTCTCAGGATCCTTGGTAATGTAGGCCGTGAGGCCTACAGCACTGGAACCCTTGCCAGAAGTGTACTGTCCACGAGGCACCAGGTTGTGAACATACTGAAGCAGCTGTGACTTGCTAGTGCCAGGGTCTCCACACAGCAGGATGTTGATTTCCGACCTATCCAGTGTCAATACAGCTTGCATCAGACTTCCACAAATGTCGAGCCCACTTCACAACGCTTCTCTCTCTCTCTCTTTCACAACGCTTCTCTTTGTCAAGCCCATATACATACCCCCCCTCCAAGAAATGAGCTGAAACACTCGATCTGGCCCTTTTCTGCGACTGCAGTCCCCCACTAGCTCTATCATCTCTCTATCTGCCAAATAGTCCAAAGGGGCGTCAACTTCACATTTAATTCCTAGTTTGAACAACAGCAGTCTCAAAAACTGGCAGGTATACGCCAGCTTGAGGGACTATTTCAGCTCATACCGTCAGCATTAGTATGTTCTTCCGAGCAAATTTAACCCCCCCGTGGCAAAGCACTGTTTGTGGAAACCAGGCCTACCTGAACTTTCCACGACCAGAGTCCGCAAAGTCCTTACGAGTTCCTCCAAACAACTGGAGTAAAATGCCTTTCTTGATGTCTTCGTTCTCGTAGATGCTTGGCGCTGCAAGAAACCAATGCACACTGTGTACTCTTTTTTGCCCTGGAGTTTTACACTGAACTGATAACAGCGAGTGTGCAGGTGAGCTGGTGATAATTAACCATAATGTAACACCTGAAATTGTGACGAGGAAAAGTTAAGAAACTTTCAAGTCGAAGAAAAAGACAAGAGCAGAAGAATGTCTTCATATTTTTCTTACCACAGCCTCAGGGGCAGGCACATAGCCAGGATTTTGATTCAGGGGGGCCTGCCCATAACAAAATGCAGTATGAGAGGGAGGGGGAAGATGAGGCCCCAGCAAGATGGAAAATCCCCCCCCCCCCCCCCCCCCCCTTTCTGTATACGTGCCTGCTCAGGGGTTACATTATGATCAGGGTGTGTATTTTCCGGTGTTAATGAGAAAAATTGGCAGATGTTTTTCGGTTTGTACAGCTTCATCTTGTATCTTGGTTCACTTTGGTTATCGAAATTTGAGAAAAGACGCACAGCAGCTGCGTTTTACTGTAGAGGTGGCAGGCTTTTCAGAGCACCCTCTGCGACTCCGAGGTGGAAAAAAGCCTACAACCGTCAGCTGCCCTAACAGCTGCAGTGAACCCAAGGCAGACCGACATCAAACCGAACCCGTAGCCCCAGAAGCCCTTGAAAACTAAACAGATAACAATGAATGCATCTCTGTTCCCCATGCGAAAAGACAAATTCTCGAAGGTCAGTGGCCCTGGACCACTCTCATGTTGGCAGTGTTTTCCAAGAACCATAGTGACCCCTGACCTATATAAAAGAAAAACCTCTACGGGGGAGGAGTTTCGAAGAAATAGCCGTCGCTAGGGCAAAAACATTCAACGATTGGTGCTTTACGGTTTTAAGCTTTTCGGTTTTAACCGATTTTCATTTTCGTCACTGGCGGATGCTTATCAATGTTTTTCGGTTCAAATCGGAAAGGGCACAGCCTAATTATGATGGACTGAAGTGGTTTCTTTCGCTTACTCACACTCTTTGGCTGAAATTTGTTATAATACCTTAGTTATAAATTTAACAGGCCATTCATTCTTAGAGCAGAAAAAAACTATTGTCAAGCTCAGAAGATAACTGCAGTGATGCGACAAGGCCTCCCCTAAAGCCCAGGCTTTCAAACTGAGTTTCTAGGGATCCATGGGTTTCCTAGAAACTCCCGGGTTTTCGCAGTTGCTCAAGTGCTCAAATTCTCTCAATCCTCATAATGAGCAACTGCCCTTTTATTGAGTGTATGATTGCCAACCAGGCTAGTTTACCTCTCCTCTTGCAAATTTTATTCCCACAAAATATTTCCAAAGGCATCTACAGAGAAAAATTTTCAATATTACTGTCATTGAGTAGTGGAAAAAGAAGTAAACTCGTCGTGTCCACTGTTTTGTCATGTCCATAATAGACACTGAGATAGAAGACATCAATAAACATATAAAACAAGTTCTTTCTCACCCAACGCACGTGCCAGGCGCTCGTAAATGTCGGGCAGACGGGAGAGACGCTTCAGTTGCTCAATCCTTTCTGGAGTGAAGTGACAATCCTTCCTATAATTGGGAAAGAAAAAAAAAATGTGTTCATCTTCTTTGGTCTTTCCCAATTTAGAAGTTTCCCTCGATCCCACAAGTGTATCCCTCAACACATTTCGTTTACAAACTCACGCATCCTCAGAGTCCTCATAGAGGCGCTTGGCGTCCAGCTTTCTGAAGTGGACGGCGTCAATGTGAGTTTTGTAGACGGCCTTTACGCTCCGTTGCCTTGGATTCACTCGGACCGCCGAAGCGCGGTAAATGCCGGTCACTGTGATCCTGGAATGGATATAAGACCAGGGAGCAGATAATTAGTAAAACAGGAAATGCCCGATTTCACAGTTGGGGGAAGCCACACGAATATTCCTTTTGGAATTGTGTAAAAGAAATGGAGGCTCGCATAAAATTACACCATCTTCCCGAGGGGAACCATGGGGTGATGTGGAGCATCATTCCATCACGCTTCATCGGAAGAACGGAGTGAAGTGGAGTCAACAGCGGGTGAACTGAACGCGCGCAGAAATTGGTTTGCTCTTTATGTTTATACAGCCTTGATGGAGATGCACCTCAACGGGTAATCGGTCTCTTAGCTGTAGATGAGAAATTTAGCCAGTGCAGTACAACCGTTAACCTGGGATTTTTAACGTGCATCACGCAGTAGTGATCACACGAACGCGTGCCGGTACGAAACTCATCCAGATCGAAACGGGCGGGGGCGGCGGGGACTCGAACCCAGGAGGTTCCCAGTGCAAGCTTTCGCTCCACGCTCCGAGCTGAGACGCGTTAGCCCACTTGGCCACTTCCTCCCCTTGAAAGCGCGCAGCGCGCTACCGCTGCTTATATTCACACTTGAAGGAGAGGAGACTAGAGGAGGAGAGTTGCGCATGCGCGCGCGGTGTGAGTAGAAGCGAACGCACGCGAAGTGCACGCAGCTGGTAGAGAGAGAGAGCGGAGAGAGTAACGCGCAGCTGTTGGAGAGAGGGAAGGAGGAGAGTTGCGCATGCGTAGTGTGAGTGCGGACTACGACGCCGCGGGACATAGACCCGAGCAAGAGATGCTTCGCATCTAAAAAAAATGAGTTGGCATAAAATATTAGGACGGAAAATGACTACACAAGCTCACCTGTCTCCAGGCTGCACAGCATCAACCAGATCATTGTGTGCATAGATGACAGCAGTGTGAGGAGTCTGTCCAGCTGGCATATCCTCTGTTGAAAAAAAAAGAAAAAACGAATGTACAAAGCACTAGGAGAGAAGTCCTAATAAAGCACACAAACCTAAAAATTCATGGTTCATAAATTAAAAAAAATACCAAGACAACTATGTGATAACATACAAGGGCAAACAGGCTGTTTATTTGTGCAGTTCAGACTCCTTTCCTGTGATTGGCAAATTGGTGATGTGCCGAAAAGACTGTAAAAGGGTATGCTGCTTCTTCCCCGCCCCCGCCCGCCCCCGCCCGCCCCCGCCCCCCCCCCCCCTTTTCAAAGAAAGCAGTGAAAGGAAAAGAATCTGAGGGAAGGACAAGCATGTGTTTGCCTGTCTTGACATTTCGAAGTTCTCGCAACGTAGCTAACTATACTCGGGGGAGGGGGCAACTTTCTGCGGTAATGCAGTCAAAGCTGCAGGCACACGTGCCGGGACTCCCCCATTTCGAGCGCCGATGAAAGCTCTGCACGCATAGTCCTCCTTGGAAGTGCTACAGAAAGCTGCTCCCGAGTAGAGCGAGGTGCAGCAGATGTAACGAAAGGGTACCTGGGGCTTCCTGCAGCTTGACGATCTGCTTGTCCGAGAACTGCGAGCGGTTGTGCACCAGGGTGTAGCTGTACTTGGCCGAGCAATTGCGGCAGGTCACGGGCTCCGCAATGCGGCCACGGTCGATCTCGACAGCCTCGACGGCCGAGCAGGCAGTGCAACGAAAGAAGGCCTCCCGCATTTCGGGGATCAAGTTAGACGTGCGGATGATCATGCCACTGATGGTCACCAGCTGGTCAATGTCTGCACAGGCAACATGGAATCAAAAGGGCAGGCTCAATGTGGTACATAATGAAATGTGCACATTACACTCGCAATGATTGGCAACTTTACCATTTCCTTAGTTTTTCTCTAAAACAAAAATTATTAACAAAGGTGAGGCTGACTGCCTACTTTTACACCTGATGTTACTTACTAAGCACATACTGTAAAAGACTGAGGTATCCTTTTCCACAAATTGCAATGGTACTGTATGAGACACTTTGAAATATACCCCAAAAACAAAATCCTCTTTGTTTCCTTGCAAAAAGCAACCGAGGTGGGAAGCAACGAAACTGACCTTCAGGGTTGAGGGAGCGCATGCTTTGAGTCTTCTCGGAGTTAAAAGGCCGCACTTGGATCTGATGAGGCAGCTGAGCATCGGGGTACTTCTCAAAGAATAACTCATTGGCAGCCATGTCAAGAGTGGGAATGACCTCCTGCGGGTAGCACTTCAGTTGGCGATACAGGTCCGCATCAAAAAGTGCCACATGGCTGCAGTTGACGTTGAGAAAGGGCTCCTCCAGGGTGTACACCTGAGAGCCACCAGAGCAAGACAAGACCAGCTACATTAAAGTATTTTTCGGACACGCACACGCTACTCGAGTGCAGCAAGCATTCCAGATCCTGTAATATTTTTCCTTGTCAAGCAGCCAATAATAAACTGTGCACCTGAATAAATCAAAAACAATGTAAACCTTAAAAAAGAAAAAAAAAAAAAAAGCTCTTTTATTTTTGTTTACAAAATATTGCAAACAAATTTGAGCTTACTTTTATGCTTGCTTTAATATTCAACAAGTCACACTTTGTGAAGCTCGTGCCTAGAGCGTGTTGAAATTATTGCACTCTTTACACAACTTATGATAAGGTTTGATTTGAGCTCAGTTGCTTTATATTTTCTGCATTTGTTTGGATTTGGCTAATGGACGTTTTGTAGACACATCAGTTCAAGAGTAAATGGTTCCAGTACCCTCTCTCTCTTCCTTCTGGCCAAGCAGAGAAGGAATACGGTTTCATTTGTCGACTTCGGGGCGGAAGATTACGCACGATGGGGACAAAGGCAAGTTTGGGAGAGACGTATCTAGGTCATGGCGCCTCAATGGGTGAACAGGATGTAGCTGACGTTTTGGGTGTGGAACGGGTGGGAGAGGCCTTGCACGTGCGTTGTTTTCTTGCCACTTAGCCTCGAACCCAGTCACGTGTCTAGGTGGCAGCACATATTCACCAAGAGGTTCATTTAGAAAAACTGATAACGGTTAGTGCCAGTGCAAACAAGCTTGTGCGGAGGCTTATGCCACCACACTAATAGTTTTAATGCTAATCAACAACTAGCCTTTGGGTACTCTGTGAGAGTGCAACATTGAAATCAAAATTCCCAATTTTTATGATGCACTTCAAAGACAGTCGCAAATTTTCAAAGCTGTTAAACTACAAGTGAAAATAGGAACAAGAGCTCCGACAAGCAATAGTACTTCCCATCGTTAAAAGACTCATATTGTGATGAATGGCTGGGTTCCCAGAGGTCATAAAAAGCTTCTAGCCTCACATCGAAATCATCAAGTGAAGCAAGGAACTCAGCTCTGCTCACCCAAAAAAGGTACATTTAATGAGAATGCTCCTCCAACTCAATCATCCCCCCTTGCCCACTCAACATAATGTCATTAAGGAGGGCCTTTAAGGGTATTAAAGGGCAACTCCAATCAAATTTTTTTAATTTGGGATTACAACTCTTTTTAGCTAAGGCAGTGTTTCTGGATTACAAGGTATATATTTATTTATATGTGTTTAGTTTTATGAACGAGGTAAAGGGGCTTACAGCGATAAACTGGTATCCTGTTCACCAGGCTAAAAGTGAGCCCCAATTGGCTGCCGCCATGTTGTAAAAGTTTTACCACTAGACATGTGACCGTACCAAATCTTGAGACTTGTATACAAAACTGAGATGAGATTTGCATTGAGATCGCTGTAAAAAAACATGAAACTATTTTTTCAATACTGATAGCCCCAGAGATTAGTGTCCAGCTCCAATAAAAACCAAAAATACAGCACCATGGCTGAAGGCTTCTAGCAGAGGCATTGCAAAACTGCCCGAATTTTTGTCGTAAAAGCACATTTTGGAGTTAAAACAAGGTGAAACATAAGTTATCTCGTAGGTACTGTTATTAAAGATCAATAATCGATTATTTGTGCGTGGTACTTTGTTAACATCTAGATGCAAAACAATAAGGTCATGTGTCTATAGTCCGTTGCAACCTAAGAACGAAGGACGAGGGTAAGACGGGCCGGGGAGGAGGAAGCAGACGGAACGCTAAAGAGAGGAGGTTTCCCTCTCTCTCCTCCAGCGCTCCGTCTGCTTCCTCCTCCCCGGCCCGTCTTACCCTCGCCCTTCGTTCTTAGGTTGCAACGGACTATAGAGGTCAAAAATGTGCAACATGGCGGCGGCCAAGTGGGGGTCACTTTCAGTTGCCAGTTTATCGCTCCAAGGCCCTCTACCTCGTTAAGTTCTACAAATATCACGGCTCACAGTTTGGTTTTGGGCGTCTACAGCAAAACCGAAACTATCCGCTAGAGGGATGGCAGCACTGATCAATCAATCAACCGCAAATCCACCGCAGCACGTCGCAAGGGTGCTGCGCCAGTCTTCCTTGACTAAAAGTTAACCCGCTTGCCACTTGCTAAAGAGTAGCTGGTCGTATCTTTAAAATCGGTTTTAGTGGAGTATGCGGCTTCACTTTGATGCAATATTTCATCTCTGATCATATTTCGTGCCACTAAAGCAACACCAGTCATTTACCTTCATTACATTTTCGACCGGAGTTGCCCTTTAAGAAAAATAAAGCATCCTGGTGTTGTTTCTTTCTAAGAATACGGAACGGCAGAAAACGGTAGGTAGCTCATTATGCCGGCAGCTTATTTGGGCACTACTTTCAGGTTTGAACTTCAACTTCCAATGGCCCACCTCTTCTAGTTTCTGCATGTAGATTGGCTGGTCGAGGTCCACCCCTTCCATCCTCTCGTCCGAATCCAAGTCCGCATTGACAAAGGTCTTGAGGAACTGCTTAAACTTGTCCTTGCAGTGGTTCACCACTACATCCGTGCCCCAGATCACCAGCTGAGGGCCTGTACTAGAGTCGCTGGTGGGAACACCCCCCGTTGCATCCGCCGCCTCCTAAAAGAGTACACCCAGTCAAACTCCTCAAGAACAGAAAGGGAAGCTCTAGTTGAGAAAAATCTGCGCTACGACTCGAGTAAATGCAATAATATTGCCCGAAGGAGACGGACAGCTTTCGACATGCAGCGATTCTTTCCTGCAGATAGGCAGAGGTTCTCTCTGTCTGTGAAATATCCTTTGCACATTTTTTTCATTCTTCACATAACATCAATGGTACACGCCAGTCGTACTCACTCCATCGCTAGCGCCAATGGCAACCTGGCGCATGCGTCGATCGTTTCGAATATCGGTTCTGTGCCTGATTGGAGTCCCCCTCCTGAAAGAGATGTCGTGCAGGTTGTCACAACAGTGTACATTTTCGTGACCGCTCACACTAGCCGCAAACCTTTTGAAAGACAAAGCTCTAGGCCACGAAATGTGGTGGCCAACTCACACATTGGACCGAGGAGTTCCAGTGTTGGCAGAGCTGGGTGTGCCATAGTGGAGGGGAGAGCTCAAGTCAAGTTCCGTGAATGCTGAAAAGATCAAGTTAGAGCCCCGCGTTTCAACTATGTTACGGACCTGCATAAACGCTATGCCACTATGCCCTGTTACAGACTAAGAAAAGCAGGACAGGCTCCTCCTGGATGGTAATGGCTATACCCTTTGTAACGGGCGGCAGCTTGCGCCACCCTCGCCCAACATTTCGTCATCCCTTCTTTTTTTAAATTTGTATAAATTTTGTTCTAACACAGCCCTTCCCCCTTTAAAGTGTTCGCATTGCTTATTTTTATCTGTATTTTCGCCCCTCCCTAGATCTTTTCCACCAATCTTCCAATCTCCTCTTAGTTACTGCAATTCTTTCCCTATCCATTCGTCCATCCATGTCGGCAAAACTTAGTGCCCTTTCCAAATCCGTAGTCATCCCCCCCCAAGAGGTTGGGACGAAGCCCCGTGCACCTTAAAATTACACGTTCTATAGTTTCCCTTTCGCAGTCGCATAGAGTGTCTATTTCCTGCTTCGATTGTATGTCTAATGTATTCGCTTGCCTCTTCCCCCTCTACCTTTGTCCTTTCCTGTGGTTAGCATCCGCTGGTACCCCTCGGTCTTTTTTTCCCTGTACACTGATGTGTTCCCAGAACCTTTTTGCTACATTCCTATCATTCTGGCCTGTACCAATGCTGATGCCTCCCACTTTCTTTCGTGAAAGTCCTCCCATTTTGATGCTAGAAAATTCCGCCACTCTTCACTTCAGCGGACGCTGGAGAGGAAGCGAGAGCGGAGGAGAGTCCACTGCCCCCCTCTCCAGCACGCTCGCTTGCTAAAATGGAAAGAGTGGAGAACTTTGTGGGAAGAGTTTGTCCTCCTTTTTTCAACCTGCAACAGGGCATAGTTACAATGCCTGGTCAACAAAAGTATGTTTACATATACACAGTGTTTCACCGACCATTGGCCAAAACGTCTGTATTAAACTTAAGCCTTGCGCAAAAATAAGATATACAGTCTACACTCATTACAACAGACCTGGTTACAACAGACATTTGGATATAACATACCAATTTCTGAAGTTCGGTTAATTTTCCTCTACATACCATTGACTCAACTTCATATCTGCATACAACATACTCCTCTTTCAACAGACCGAAATCTTGATCAAAATCAAGGTCTGTTATAACGAGCTTAGACTGTAGTATCGTATTAGTCAGTCCTGGGGCTCATTTAATGGAGTACACAGTGTTTAGTGCAATCAATTGCGTGTTTAATTAGTTTTTCATAATCAACTCTGATTAATAAAAATAAACAAATGGTTCTAATTAGAGACTTGCCGGGCATGGCTGAAAAATACTACTTCGGGCAATTCTAGAAAGATCCGAAGTTCACACTTCGTTTTTGTGGGTTCCGAAAATGCATCAAAGTTCGACGTGCCCACATGGTTTTTCCACTCATCATCACCCGTGTTTTCGCTCCAACACCCTCGCACGTGTTGCGCGTGTAGTGCAAGCAGTCAATCTTTTGCCCCACCTATTTTTAGGTTTACTGGTTTTCGATGATGCTCAGCAAGTTTCTGATTAGATTCATATGTATATTTTTGCACAACACAATGACAACACTTTGCGAGCCCAACCCATCCAAGTGATAAACAAAGGGATGCTGCCGAAGATCCCAGAAAGATAAAAATACCATACTATATTCACCTGCAACATTTCTCTGGTAGGGGCTGGATGGCGGAACCTCGTTGACACCATCAGCAGACGACGAAGGCAGGGGTGCTATGTCGGACAACATTTCATCCCCGTTTGCTTGAGTCGGAGTCCTGGCCCCATTCCTTTGCCTTCTGGACGCTGAATGCATACAGGATACCAGAAGTTTTGTCTCACCGTTGTTTGCAAACAGGGCTTATTTGAATATATGAGTGCAAGCTTAAGACAGGATACTTACGTGTGCTTCTTATGGAGCTTCGGGATGCTGCAAAGCAATTTAACCAAACCACGGGTTATTCAGCATTTCTGCAAGTTGCAAAGACCGATCTAGAATGTAAAGCAACTACCTGCACTGTTCGCAAACAAATGGCATACCATTACTTAAATAAATTATGCATAAAAAAAAAGGGCAAAGAACAGACCACGTAATCCAGGCATACTTAAAAATACACGTAATTTAGGCATGTTTGAAAACAAAGAGGGGGCGATGCCCTTACGACCAAAGTAAATATATTGCTCACGTGTGTTCCTTTTGGATGCTGAAAGTAACAAAGAAACAAAAGCGGTCAGTTAGTTGATTGAAGAGACTGCAGTAAACACTTGAAATCGGTAAGAAAAGGACAAAAAATAGGACGTTCCAGATATGCTAAGAGACAGACCCGTTTGTCAGGTCACACTACAAGACGTAATAATTAACTGTGTTGGGTAACGAGCAAGCGAGATGCCGGAACATCGAGTCAATTGTCCCTTTAAATGCAGGAGATAAATATGCACAGGTAACATACGTGTGTTTCTGCGGCTTCTCGATGCTGCAAGCGAAAAGACAAGCAAACATAAGAAACTACGCAAAACTACGTCATATATTTGTCAACTAAGGGACGCAAAAGTGATCCGAGTTAGCCTTACGAGTTTGAGGATCCTGGCTCGCGCCTCGTGTGCTCCTCCGAGGAGTGCTCGACGGGGACGACATCGGGAGAAAGGAGTTGTGCTGAAAATTGGGCCGCCGTCATCAAAATCACAAATGACAAAACACCAATAACAGAACACACTCAGCAATATTTAAGATCACAGGACGAGCACCGACTTAAACGATATTTGAGAACCCGATGATGAGCAGACTCCGATCTCCGACCAAACAAAGCGCCTCGACACTTTGCGTTAAAAACACCACTTAAACTCTCCGAAACTGTTTAAAACGACTGAGATCAGAGACATAACGTAGAGTGACACTTTCCACAGCTCCAGCAGTCATGGCCGATCAAAATTTACGGAGATATTCCGTATCGTTGTACTCACCGACGAGTGAACAAACTAGACCGCATCCAGCACTGCAGCAGATTTGGCGGGAAAATGTTGGCGCGCGTACTGCGCGCACGCGCACCGATAAGGTTCATGTAGGGAAGGTAGCGACAAATATGTCTAGCCAATAACATTCGAGTTCGAGTTTTTTAAAGTTTAAAGTTCTGTGTCTCGTGACGTCACTAGAGTCATGTGTTTTCCGCCTTTTTTATTATTATATTTATTGCTTTATCCACTTTACAGTTGTCAACCGTGTCAACTGCTGCAGAAGCAGAAGTTATTTTATGCTGAATATCAGCGATGAACATCGACGGCGGAGCCTATGCCGGCGGTGAATAGAAAACCGCTGGTGGTGGTGGTGGTGGTTGTTGAAAGGGTTTTGGACATAGAGATCATACATGTTTTGGAGGGCATACCGTCGGCTCGGCCGTTAGCGAAGACCTGAATGAAGTCTTATGGTCTTATTTTATTCATTATGTGCAGGATGGCACTGTTTTTACCGGTGAAACAGGTCAGCCCGTTGGTTGCGTATGGTTAAATACGTTGCTCCTCACGCATGAGAGTGCATCTTGAACTGCGCTCGTCTTGAAAGCGTTCTTCACAATCTTGTTTCATAGCTCTTCAAAAATGCCCCCCCCCCCCCCCCCAAAAAAAAAAAAAAAAAAAAGCGCAATTTTTATCTACATGTAGCGCTAGCGGTCTCAACCAGATACCAAAGTTTCAGAACCAAACGCTAGCTTATTCAAAAGTTGTAAGACTTTCTGAAATTTTCATTGGGAAAATTGTCATTTACTGCTCACTGCTCCATTGAAATACATGGAGCAAAATAGCGACAAATAACCGAAAAAAAAAAATTTTATTTTATTGGGAATGGGTCATGTTGAAATTTTCGAAACCCCACTAATCTTCGGAACGCTTGCGCAACATTTGGGCGGAGAACGAGCGTTCGGCACGGTTCTGCAGTACGTAGTTTATTTTTGTGATGGGAAAAGCACTCGCCTTTTTTTCATACGCTTTTATCAGTTTTTCTCTCTGCAGATCCTGCCTGTAAAGAAAGCATAATGGTGGCACAGACCTACATGCTCGCCTCACGTTGACAGAGCTGCAAGCTTTCTTGCGAATGGGAAAAACAAACTGAATCACTAGGGTTTGATTTACTTTCGTGACACTTACTCTAATGGTATTCAACATTTGTGAAAGTTCCTAATTTCAGCCCCAAAAAAACACTTCCTAGAGCTAGTTCTGTTTTTCACTACGGAACATATTTCAGTGCCGCACCCAACATTTTTTTTTTTTTTTTGGTTTTGTTTCTTTTCCATTGGTTTAATGAGAAAGTCTGTGTTTCGGCAGCATGAGAGGGTGGAATAGAAGGGCCAGGAGCCGAAGACATTCACCACTAGAGATTTGTCGGGATCGTGCAACATGCTGTACTTACACGAGGCCAACAATTCCGCCGCAACCTTCTTAGAAATCTAACTGGAAACCTCTAACCAGAAAGTGGACCCAGTATTGAATCCATCATACTTTTTCATTCAGAAACCTTTCACACAAATTCCAAAGGCATAAGGAGTCATCCTTATATGTTTAATTACCATTCAGCCCAATCTGTGCAAAACATACAGCAACTTCCAGTACTACTTGCAACTACCAGATTTTCAGGGGAAGGATTAGTGCAGATGTGCAATCCAGACTTACCAAACTTCCACTATCACAGCGTACATGTAAGTCCTTTTCTCCACATTCAACAGCAAAGAAGCAAAAAATGCGACCTATCGTACCCAATGAATTCTATATTTGTTCAAGCCTCACAATCAGAGCAGTCCACCTAGTGCAATAACAGGAATAAGTGCATCACTATTAGATAAGCCCATCAAATAGAAACCAAGAAAATCACAAAAGAGCTATCACAACAAAATTGGGAATGTATCAAAAGTTGCACAATAGTACAGTTGGTGAACTGAGATGCAATACTAGCAGCATTGTTCCAGAAGTACTCCCCATCTGTGACCCCAACAAGAGATCTGCTGACTTGCCAAGACTTTATAATGTGCATAACCTAGGCAACAAGTAATTCTATCAGGCTCAAACAACTAAACATAGATACCCAATTTCTTGATAAAACCACCGCAATAATACAATTTTCGAATTGCCAACAGCACTAAGTAAAAACTATGTCATATTGGCATGGCCATCTCACAAACAAATTATAACAAATATGTTGACAAATAAGTAGCTTAAGAGGCCCAATCCTTCAACATTTCGAATTATGCTGTAAATACAGCTGCACCTTCAGTGAATGCTAGAATTTTAAGCCTGGCTGAACTACTGCTGCTTGCAGAACCCTTCAAGCATAGCCACTTTTTCATGTAAAAGCATGAGCGGTAATTGAGCACTGAAGATTAGGTTTTGTACAGGTATGAAAATGCTTTTCTTCAACAGCATTCTTTCCCCCTGCATACCAAAAGTCTTATCTTTCTAACACTGTAGCACACACTCCACAAGTTTCTAACATCTACATTTCACTAACAGCTTGTAAAAGTTTTGACAGTACCATGGATACAATTGACATATATTTAAAAATGTCAGGAATGAGAAAAGGGACAAAGCAGCAAAGCTGCAGCTTCAAGAAAACTTGTTTGCCAACAGCCATTCGTATCTGTATACCTACAAAAAGCCAAATATAGCCTGCAAGATCAGGTTTAAGTAGCGAGTTATAAGAGTCATCTAAGTAAAACAGGTATGTCAAATGATCAAAACTAGATACGCACCACTTCAATTAAGAACCACCGAGCAGAAAGGCAATTCGACACTAACACATTGTGTGCGCATTGCCTGTACGCAAAATGCAAACAAATGTTAGAAAAGAAAAAAAAAAACATAGTGGAAGACTGCAGAGAAAGTCCTGTAGAAAGACAGCAGCAAGAGGGGACACAGCACGGGCACGCACATCAAACAGACAATGCGGGCAGGGCTGGGCATTGGCAAGCCTGGCCACAACACCGCATGAATTCTGTACATGTCCTGAAACCAGCTTGTGAAGACACGCCACGGGGCTGTGTCTAGTCGAACTAGATTGCTTCGAGTGATAGTGACGAAGGTACAGTATGTACATGGCTAGTAAGCAACTTAAATATGACACTAACTGTACTTCAACCTGACAAGCACCCACACTGAATACTGAAGCTAGGCCAAAAAGAAAAAGTGGACAGTAAATTTATAGAGCACAGGGGGGAGGAAAAAGCTGGCTACACAGTTCATAACAGGTAGCTGTAAATGCCCTATTGCACTTGATCACTTCCATAAACAAACAGGCATGCGAGCAAGAGAAGAAAACTAGTGTTGCAGGAGCTTGTATTTACAGGAGTCGAAGAAGATGCAAAACCAGAATGCTTCTATATAATTGGCAACATCTGGAGCGTCTGAACTTGTGTACACAACTTTTAGACCAAACCCAAAAGATTACTGGAGAAACAATATTGCAGGTGCTTAACAGCAACAGCACAAAATTAATGATTCCTACTTTTGTATAGTAAAACTGCATTCCTGATGCAAAGTACAGTGAACTATAGTTTTCTTTGTCTCGGTGAATTTAAAATGCAGGAAACAGTGATTTACGACTAAAGCGACCATCCACTAAATGAATTCTTTGCCTACTGAAATTGCCAATTGATCATAGATACACCTAAACAGCATTTGGTGCAATTAAAAAAAAAAAGGGAGATGAACACATCTAAATTCGTGTGACCAGTGCTACAATGTTAGAAAACTGGGTACTTCCGTTAACCTACCTCAACAGTTCAAAACGCGTAAGAATTGCAGCAGTCCCATTAAAATGCCATTTGACCCATCTGGCAATCCTTTGTTTTCTTGGCTTCTATAAAACTACAGAACATCAAAAGGACAGTCAAGCGACCAGTGTAGGTCTCTACCGCTTTCAGCAAAAAATCACTGGGTACAATGTCCTTGACTTTGTGGTGCCTTGAGCAGAGGCAGAGGCCTCGAAATCTCATTGTTTATTATGTACAACTAGGTGAGGAAACATGTCGACCTTTATTCAGCTTGCCAGATTTCAAGAGTGATAAAGCATTTGTTACCTCATTATTTACAGCCTCAAACGAAAGTGAAACTACTCAGATGCCATCTCCTACACACCGTGTACCAGCAGATGTCTGGGGATAGCGATGCACCAACACTACAGTTCTCGCATTAGAAAGAGTAAAAACGCTCCAGAATTTTGTGATGCAAACCAAAGCATCGAGTCACCGTGCATGCAAAAGCAAAGAGTCGGTCGAGAAAATACGCCCTGCCTACATCCCCATACGCCCGATTCCCCCCTTGTGTGTTTGTTAGAGTAGAAAGTATGGAGTAGACAAGTGGTCACACGTCGACAATGTCGTCGGCAGACGCAGGGGAGCACGGCTCTGCGTCCCCCTCGGGTTTCTCCTGGGCAAGCGAGTTGGATGATGCCGTCGGGCCGGGCGTCATCAGGGGTGGCCCAGAGAAGAAGGCCGCCCGGTTGGCCGCAATGGATGCCACCGACGACACTGTGCTGGACACCTCAAAAGTCTCTTTGGCGTAGACCGTGGTACGTGTGCGGGGGCCGCTTTCAGACACTGACCCGAGGGAAGAACAGCGCAGGGAAAAAAGAAAGTCAAAGAGACACCAAAACAAAAATTCAAAATCGGGTTAAATACAATCGTTAATTCCCATAAGCCAGAGGTCTCAAATTCATTTGAGTGTGGGGGCCAGATAGCCCACACCGGAAGGGTCAAGGGCCAACATAAGACGGGAGAGGGGGGTTGAAATATTTTGAAGAGACCTTAGCTGTATGCTTTTTGTAAACTCATAGTTTTGCCAGTGACACCTTTAGGGTTAATTTGTTTATATGATTAATTTGGGCCCTGACCTGATGTGATAACAGGAATTAAAATGACACTGCCCCGCCAACGTGCTGGCATTTTAATAGAACAAGAGAGCAAGTACATACGATCCCGCTGCTCAATTCACTCAGCAATTAACCAAGCTCAACATGTCTCTAAAAACACCCAGTTAATTTGGCAGTTCTTGTTTTTCTGATGATTTTTATCACAACACTCTGAACAAATACTTGTCTATGAATGCTGATATTTTTTTGAAGCCGAGAATCCCGAGCTTGTAGCTTTATCTTTGGCAGTTGCTCCTGCTGATCGAGAGTTCACGCAGTCGAGATGTATCCTTCAACGAGTAGCTCACGCTTACAGCCCAGTAGTGGAATTGTTGTATATTACAAAAAGCTAATAAGCAAAAAATAAAGTGAAACAAAGGGCAAATGAACACAGATAAGTATAAACTATGTGAATATGTTAAAAGAGCAGAGCTACTTTTCAAGCGAAAATGAATTGACAAGATGAGATTACTATGGTGCATGCCAATTCTAGTGCACGAGGCATGGGAACTGGGACTCGTATACCCGGTTGCCTGTGAGCCGCATCCCAGCGAGTCGCGGGCCACATGTTTGAGACCCCTGCCATAAGCGATAAGGAAACACCCATATTTTAAATAAATAACTATACAAGCAAAACATCACTTATACAGCGATATCTTTACAGATCGCCATAACTTTAGAAAAGAGGTGCCCGACTGAACCCGGCCGACGAGACAAGGCACCTCATGATTCCCCCCCATTCCCTCTCCTCCTCGCTACGTCCCGTGTCGAGCTGGTGAACCGAACCGAAGCGAGGAGGAGAGAAGCGAGGCTGCTTCCCCTCATTCTCCAATTCTCCCGGAGGACAGTGATGTCGAAAGACCTCGCTTGATCGCGCCCTTCTTTTCCAAAAGTACGGCCATCTGTTTGAGGTATCGATGTACGGGTAATATTTTGGGAAGGGGGGGGCCAGAACCCTAGAAAACGCACCTTTAGCTCGTTTTCTTCAATTAAGAAACAAAACGTAAATAAAAACTTTTTTTTTTTTTAACCTGGTTAGGACAGGCATGTCTCAAAATAAATGTTTATCGAAATAAAAAAAAAAATTTTTGCCCAATCTTTCTGCTAGGATATGAATTATTCGATTTGCAGGCAAAACTGAAATTGCACTCCTGTGGGATGATGGTGATAGCGTTTGCACCCGACTACCGTAAAATAAGGGGCAGCGCCGACCCCACTTTCACTGAAAACTGGATTAATCTACACATGGGCGCTTGTCCAGTCAAATCGGGCACTTAACGTATAATTTGCAGAGCTCCCAAGTCTGGAACACGTTAATAGTGGGCACTTAAACAAAGTGGGCGCTTCAGTGGTATTTTACGGTAGTGTGCTATCATCATCATCCCACAAGAATACAATTTCGGTTTTGCCCACAAATGGAATGATTCATATTGTAACATAAATATTAAACAAAACAAACTTTTTTTTTTTTTTTATGAACATTTATTGTTTTTTACACAGGTGGAAAAAAAGTGTTTTTTTTTTTATAGGTTTAGTGGTTTTTCAACGGTACGGGTACATTTTACAAGTATTCGGGTTGCACATATGTTGAGGGATCCCATGCCAATGCCCAATTTTGTTCAACACAAGCCCCAATAAACCCCCATGTTTTGTCCAGCACTGAAAATTGATACCGAAAAACAGTGCAAATCTGTGGAAAAAAAACAACCCCAAACCCCCCCTCCCCGGTTGGACGAAAAATAAACTTTGAAAATACAAAATCCTAGTTATACTGCCTGGGGAACATGATATAGATAGACAATCGTTGCAACAAGTCTGTTAATTAACGAAAATGTGTAAACAATTTTTAATTATCGGAAATAAAGATTTGGTTCTAATTAAAAACTTGCTGAGCCGTCACCAAAAACCATCACGTAAGTCAAACTTTAGAAAAATTTGGGGAGCGTGGGAAGTGCAGTGGTGCACTCAAGCTACCACTCGTGCATCACGTACAAGGCTGACGGTGCTATTATCATCCGCGTTTTTTTTTAATGCCAGCGTTGCTTGAGGGGTAACTTTAGTACCACCCCCCCCCCCCCCCCCCCCACCGAAACAAAATCCTGGCTACATGCCTGACAAATCCCATTCAAGCTTTCTAAACTGAGAGCAAAAAACTTAACCCACTCAAAGCTCTAGCCAAGCCAAGCTTGTGGAGTGATCTTACCTTTATTGCTATTCTCCAACATATCCACTTCATCCGGTGTTCGCGCTCTCGTTCGGGAGCCGTCGTCGCCAGAAAACTCACCTTTAAGAGAGACAAGTTCCACAAATGGATCTCACCACACAGACACAAACGAGACGACAGCCCCTTCACTGCTATAGACAAGCATCTTGTGCAAGGAACCACCCAAAGGTTTCACTGTCCCCTAAAGCTACGAGCGAGCAAGGTGAGATATATCGAAAGACGCAAGAGAGCCGCTCACTCGTGCAGTGCACCAAAGTGCCTGGGAAGAGCAAATAATAGCCCACTCACCAGAGAGCCTCGTCTCCATGCCTCCAACCATTGACTTGGGCCTGGGCTTGGGAGCCACGGGTGGCGGCGGCCGTCCCTTGAGGGCTGCAAACGTTTTGGGGGATGTGCCCGGGGTTCCGCCGCTTGACTGCGGCGATGAAGGCGTGTTCTCCAAGGGGCCGGGGCTCGTCGAGCTCTTTTCTCGAGGAAAGTAGTCCGTGGGAGAGCGCAAGGAATCGGCTAGTCCCGTCGGTTTGAGCCGCACAGATGGAAACGGAGCGGAATCCTTTGAAGTCTCCGAGGTGCCATCCAATGCCTGAGCAGAGAAGTGCGCAGTGGACGCATCAGGGTCAGCAGGGACGCTTGTGAGATGCAATTGCCAAACCAGAACTCACCACGCCTTTAGACTGAGCCCCCACTGAGGTCCGTTTGCCCTGCAAGGCCTTCATTTCGGCCAGAATCCCAGACCCAGGACCCAAGCCAAACTTCTCAACTCCAGATAGCCTGGACGTGCTTTCGCTCAATAACTTCCGTTCTGTGATTGCCTCTGAAACAAATGCAACAAGACTCGGGTCAAGTTACTAAATCCATAGGCATATGATTTAAAGCAAATGTGAAGATCAAAAGCGCAAAGAATTTAGAAGACTGGTTATTACGAGAGGTCGACTTTTCTTTACCAAAAACTGCCTGCCAAGATGTTGCTCAAAATTTCGATTTCTACCAAAAGTACTCGGAATGTTGACTACACTGGCTACACTATGTAAAAGCAGTGGAGATAACTGGCAGAAGCTGAGGAGCATGTGCAAAGTGCCCCAGTGGCACTTCAAGTGGCTGTGAAGCGGTTCTCACACACATTGCGAACTCTGCCAGTCATCGCCATTGTTCACTAAATGGTGCAACCACTTATCTCCAGACACCACTGTCACATTGCTGTTGAAAGCATGGGTACTAGATTTCACCACTGTCACATTGCTGCTGACAGCATGGGTGGACACAGGACTTGTGCATTTTGCTCATGTTAAAAAAAAAGTTGTACGAACCTCCATTCTCCTTTTCATACATGTCCATTTCATGCTTCGACTTGCTTATCGATGTGCATGCAGTCGCGGAAGAAGTCGTGAAGACGCTGCCACCATCCTTTGACTCCTGTCTGGACTTGTGGACAATGGTTGTCTCAGATGATGAAGAGGAAACCCGGCTGAACAGGTTGCTGATGCCCTTCATGAAACTCCGCTTCTCAGTTTCCTTGCTCTCTTGCGGTGACTTTTCTAGGGTCTTTTCCAAGCTCTTGTCAGGAGACTTGTCCAAGGGTCGAGACTCCATGATCAACACGGAGCTGCTGGCTGATGTGCTGCTATCACTCCTCAAGCTGTAAGGTTAAAATTTTCTAAGTTGTACGACCAGCCATCCAAATGCAAAGCTTACACTAAAGAAACACTGAATCAAATTAAAGGAGCTCTGGTACACATAAATGACAAATCTTAAGACACTTCCCATATGCATCTCCTTTTGGGGGAGGGGGGATTTTAAACTGGTAGAATGAGGATGACGCACCAGTACTTGAAGCATGTACTGTCTCAGAGTGTGTAAATGCAGCAACAACCATATGTAGTTTCATGGTGTTCATAATCATTCTTTGAACAGTCAATGGTCCATATATAGACTGCAAAGTTACCAAATGCAATACAGAATGCTTGCTATAGTTGCGAAAACCCAAAAGCATCAGTTGGAACTGTGGATGACAATGGTAGTTTGACTGGTTATATAGTTAGGGCAACTGATTTGAAGTTTTGGCAAATAAAATAGGCTACTCTGCAACGTTCTTGAGCAAAAAAAAAACAGGCTTCATATTACAACTGATTTACAGCAAACATAAACGCCATTCATATAGCTGTTATGAATAGTGTCCACCATGCTATTATTACAGTAATCAGACATCATGGACATATTCCAGCAAACCTTAACCTTGCAATATGTGTCTAAATGTTCGCGAAACATTCAGTTTTTCTAATGCGGCGATTCACAAAAGTTTGAAGATTTTTTGAAAACTGAATTTTACAGTGCCATCATGACCAGATACTATGCCCATCTTTTCAGCCTGGTGTTTAAAGAACATCATAGATAAAAGCAAACACTTTCATTTTGCTTTGTCCCATCTCCAATTGGCACTGACTATGCACAAGTCACTGCAAGCCCACTGCATGTGCCATGAAGCTGCATTAAAAATCCGCAAGTGGTGCATTTCACTGCAGCTTCAGATTAAAATGCAAATTTCTGGACCTTGCATTAATATGGTCCACATCAGAACCTCAATGACACACTTTTTAGGTTGCATTTAGAGGGAATGCACTAAATTTGGTCTGGATAACCAGCCAGTAACCCTGGCTATAGGTATTGCATGAGATCTGCAGCATTCGGAGGGCAGGTGGTTGAGAGCTAGGCACTAAGCGCAGAGCAGAGAAGCGGCAGACCCAGTATCTTCGGAGTCCGGGGAGAGGGTTGGTGTCGAGGAGGACGGATGCCTTTTGAAAAACGACTCGAGGGCATCGCTGTGCAAGGGGTCCCGGCTGTCCCCAGCCGGCAGGCAGGGTCGCGTCGGGGCATGCGTCTTGGGACGCTTAGGACGTGCCTTGCCCAGGTGTTCCAGCTTCTCCGACGTTGGCGATAGGTTTGGCAGGCTGTCAGCTGTGCACAATACGCGAAGAACATTTTGCTGCTGCCACGCGAGGTCACTGCACTTCAACACAGGCGATAGTGCATAGATTCTTTGTAACAATGTTAGAAAATTCACCTTGAGACTTCTTTTCCTGCCCCGAAGAGGTACTAAAAGTTGAAAACTTACGGGTCCCCTTGTCCAAATTATAAAAATTGAAGCCTATTTTAAACATTCTAGTAGACCAGAATTGACTTTCCACCCTCAACACCATCGTCTCAAACGCTAAGCATGAGGCAGTAATTAAAAGCTGGACTTATCATGGGGTCTCCTAAAGGGATACTGAACCGAAATTTGAATTTCGCAAAATAATGCTCTAGAAGCGTTGAACAGGACCCTACAAACTCCAAAACATTACTCGTACATCAATATCTCAAACGGATGGCCATACTTTTGGAAAAGAAGGGCGCTATCAAGCGAGGTCTTTGACATCACTGTCCTCCGGGAGAATTTGAGGATCAGGGGAAGCGGCCTCGCTTCTCTCCTCCTCGCTTCGGTTCACCAGCTCGACACGGGACGTAGCGAGGAGGAGAGGGAATGGGAATCATGACATGCCTTGTCTCGTCGGCCTCGTCGGCGGGGTTCAGTCGGGCACTTCTTTTCTAAAATTATGGCGATCCGTTAGAGATATCGCTGTATAAGTGATGTTTTTGTGTTTTGCATCGTCCCGCCTATCTGTCCAGCCTTGTTTTGTGAGTTCGAAATTTCGGTTCAGTATCCCTTTGACATGAGAAAAGTGGCTAATCTGTCCAGCCTTGTTTTGTGAGTTCGAAATGTCGGTTCAGTATCCCTTTGACATGAGAAAAGTGGCTACTAGGTGGAGGTTTGAGAAGGGTCTCCCTCTCCCGTACAGTGGACCTAGGCTATATGATGTCCCAAATGAAATTTAAGCTGTGCCCATAAACAATAATATTGCAACAGAACCTCACAATTTGAACAGTGGGTATACACTTAGCAAATAGATGACAGCCTTGGATATAATGAAAAATATGTTGAGACTTTGGCCAATTTGAAATAACTAAAGTATAGCAGATGTACTAAACTTTCGATTGCTCGCCTAAAGAACTACACAAGACAAACACTAAATTCCTCAAGCCTTTATCCTTGTGTGTTGGGAGAGATTTTATGGGGCATAATTAAACTTTGAAAATTAGCTTCAGAGTCGATAAATGCCAGAAACAGGAAGTGTTAGGAAGGCACAGAACTTTTACAAGGCAAGAGAATTTCGTAACATGCCACTGTACTCTAGGATACATACTCCCAGAATCCTTAGGCAGAAGATCAGGAATGTCATCAGCTGCGATACCTTCCACACTATCTGCAAAGTGGAACCATTGGCACTGCCATAAGTTACAAAGGCATTAAAGAACAAAAAAAAAAAACACACCAAGACCCAAAACAATATGTGTGCTATACTCGCCTACAACAGACTGGGGCCTTAGTTTTCTTGAATTGATGCTCTTCCTCTTGATGGGCAGCTTGGGAGTCGCCTGCAATGAGCGAAGTAAAAAAAATTAAAACCTGTGAAATAAAAAGGTGGCAAGACGAACGCTTTTTTAATACAGCATTTAATGTGAGGAATAAAATTTAAAACGCAAGGATGCTCATCTACATAAGATGTCCTTTATCACCATCTTCCCAATGCATGCACAATAAATTTAAGTGCAAACACAACAAAATAAACACAGCATCATACAGTACACAATACAGGACCTCTAGTACTTACTAGATTCAACCAAGCCAATTGCTGCAGTGCAAGGTAGAAAAACAACAAGACATAGTATGCCACGGGTCAGAAATCGCCGCAAGTGTAGCACACAAAGCTGTATGATGCACAGGTACCACATGTATGAGGCAAGCAAACTCGCGGCTACAAAATCAGACGTTCTATTAGGTGCTATTCTAAAGCTTCCATCCAACTACAGGCTACTGTAGCACACTAGTATAACTCAAGGGCTGCCTGCCACGTGACGGCTACATAAACTTTTAAGATATACACGATAAGAACTCATCATCAAAATCCAAAGCTACATCTAGTTTCAAGAAGTATCTACTAACAAAGCAGCATTGGGCCTACAGCTGCAGTCACTCGCAGACTTGGGTGCTCTTTCAGGGTGCCTATGCAGGACCACTGAAGAAATATGTTGCCTTACACACTGCAGCTTTCCCAATGCTTCTTATCAAACCCTGTTAGTCTCAGTGGCACATTCTTAAATCACTAAGGAATATACAAAGTAACACAAACGAATCTTCCACTATAAAACGAGTCGGAAAAATCGCCACCTGCCCATAGAAAGCTCAAACCTTCATCAAATGTGCACTGGGCAGGTCAATTTTATAGTGTGAAATTTCAAGATGGAGTTCTTTTCCTGTAAAAAAAATGAGAGTAACAAACTTGCCAAAGTTTACGCCGGGCACGATAGCCGAGTTAGCGATGCAATTAACTTCTGGTGCCATCTTCCTAATGGCACAGCGAGCAGACAACAGAGTGCACTGTCTGCTCACTGCACCTATCGGGAGATGGCGCCATGAGTTAATAGTGTCGCTAACTCGGTCATATGTGAATGCGCCCAACTTTGAGAGCAATAACTTTGGCAAGTTTGTTGCTCTTATTTTTTATGGGAAGAGAACTACTACACCTTGAAATATCACACGGTAAAATTGACCGGCTCAGTGCACATACAATGAAAGTTTGAGCTTTCTATCAGAAGGAGGCGACTTTTCCGACTCGTCTTACAGCGGAAGATCTGCTTGTGCCACCCTACATATCTGTTTCTTAGTCGAGATCTGTCGTAGCTATTCCAGACTAGGTAAACCTCCTGGAGTCTGATTAGACACATTTCCAATGTTATAGGCATATATGCAACTACAGCTGTAGCCTAGCAGTCTCAAAGGTCAATAATTTATATGAAAAAGCATATGGCTACTCTGCACAAAGGTACAGCTAACTACCAGCTGATAAGCCAAGCAGGAAAAGGAGAAGCTGGCCGCAAAATGGCACCTGAGGCTTCCCCCGGGCTGGCAGCAATAATTCTTCACAGTGCGGTTCCCCCAACACCAGTTTGACAGCTAGGTACCTCTCGCCCACTTGCAAGATGTCAAACAAAAAGCACTAAGGATGTCATGCCTACAACCGAAAATGAGCTCAATGAACCTACGCGAATTTCCAACCAAGCTGACTGAATCTACAAAGAAAAGAGGAGGAACGGAAGAAATACGGGGAAGGGACCCAAGGCCGTCGTCGGACGCCCAGTGGCACTGGCATTAGAAAAACGGACGGGCGAATGAAAGAGGCTCGAGCCAGAGGGGATGGTGGAAAGACAAAAAGGAAGAGAAAGAGTGAGAGCACCTGTGGTCAAGAAGCTCCGCCACCAAAGCGGCCAGACCTGGGTAAATCCCTTTCGTCCACCTTCAAAGACAAATCGTCCATCAAAAACGAATGGCTCAGCCCCCCCCCCCCCCCCCCCCCCCCACTCCTGAGCCGGCTGTCACGGACTATGTCAACCGCTGCCCCGAGGTTCGGCGCCTCCCACTGGTCTTTTGCCAATAGAGAGGCGGGAACGTACAAGGACAAAGTGGCCTACCAGGGGGGAGTCGGAGCTCTCGCTGACACTGTCGCGATCGCAGTGTGAGTCTCCGCCATGGCCGTCTGGCCGAAGGCCGCTGCGCAGCACATCTGGGGTAGAACTGCGCTGGCGATTCAGCTTGTCCACCTTTGCAACCAAACAAACCATGCAACGCGGCAATCGGATAAGAGTACTTTATGCCACAAAGTCACGGTAGAAAATCTTTCACTCCCTCAGTGATGCATAGTGGTTTCTTGTATAAAGTATCGAACTGTTTCGTGTCCCCCACAGCACCTCCCATCATTCTTATGTAAACAAATGCGGAAGGCTTTAGCACTAGGGAGTTCTAGTAGCTCGTTCCTATCACTCTAGTAATGATACCCAACACACATGCATCAGATTGTAATCGGGTATTGTTATCGGAGGTATCAGAATGATCCGCTAAAAATCCCTACTATACTATGCTATGTCCACGGGGAATGAACGAGCCAAAAATGCCTCGATTTGAGCAAAAACCATGCAAAATGAGGCAAGCGGCGATTCACAAACCTAATAAAAAAAAATTCTTAAAATATTTTGAAATAAAAAATAACAACAGTATTTCATGGCTGCGCATGTGTTGTACAATAGAGCCCTTCATTTTCATGAGCTGCGAATTCTCATCAATTTGTGTCAATCCCTTATTAAATAAAATATATAAAAATGAATTTAAAGACTCGCCAAAACTCTCGTTGCAGATAAGAAGTTTAAAGTTAACTGAAAGGTGCAAACGTAGTGACCACCCCGTTACAAAAGCAATGAAACAAACACACAGGCACTCACCAAATCCCTGTGGCTACGTGGCAGGCTCTCTATCACTTCATCCACAATTCGATCCGACACGTGGGCCGCAATTGTCAAGTTAATTTCACTGGAAAACAAGAAAAAGAGTCCATTATATTTGAGAAAAACAAAAAGGGGAAGCAGTCTATGTACCATAAAATCCCCTATGAATACCTGCCCCCGAGAGATCGCCCATCCATTTTTTGGGTCAGATATTCATAACATAAAAATTTCGCAACATCGCTGGCCATTTTAGAAAATCGCAGATTCAGGAGGTTCTGGCTTAAAAATAAGTAAACATGTGCTCGAGTGAGCATGGGGCGCTCCCTCGACCGAGGAAGGAGGATCCGCCTGGCTCTACTAAGCTGCAGTGACCTAGATTGGACTCCCCCCAAGCCTCTTTTGTTCCTATTGTGACTTATCTTTTTGACCCCGAGTTCATTCTAAGAACCTTCTTCTCTCTTCTTCATAATCCGCACGTTGTTTCATCCTCAAAATCCTCAAACCCCGTTTTCTGCCAGGTGGCACCAGTTATTTTTAAAATGGTGGATTCCCGCTGTATATTGATCACGCAGTCCGAAGGGAATCGCACCAACTGCACAATCTGCGGTACCGGTAGGTGTGACAAGCGTCTTTGCAGCGGATTCCCTAGTTTATCACACCGTGACACATGCATCTGCTGCATCCGTGATCCGCGGTATTTTTTCCCTGAAATCCAAGTTCATAGCTTGTTCTAGTTTTTTTTGTTTTCATTTATTTTTCTCCCGCAGTCTGCACGCACAATTCTGGTTCCCGTGATACGCAAGTTTGTAACAGTTTCCTGCGTGTTTATCGTAATGTAAAACACGAATCTGCTGCATCCGCAAGCTGTGGTATCCATTCCCGTGACATGCAACTGAGTTAGTAGCAGGTTCTCGCGCTTTTGCCCGTGATCTTTTTGCGCGGTATCGGATCCCGTGACAGTAGAGTTTGTTGCGGGTTCTCAGTTGCTTATCGTACCGTGAAGCGCAAATCTGATGCACCCGCACGTTCTACGGTATCCGTTTCCATGACAAGGAAGTTTGTAGCGAATTCCTGCATGGTTATCACACTGAAGAACACTGATTTGCTGTGCCTGCGATTTGTAGTACCAGTTCCCACTTGTTCTGGTTTTTAGCAAAGCGTAGCGCACCGCAACCCCCTCCCCCAGGTGTTTACTGCTAGCTTTTAATAAAATTTTGCTGTCGCACACCCCGTGGCGTCACTAGGGTTAGTGGCACCCGGGGTGGTGGCCCGCAACAACCCCCCCCCCCTCCCTCTCTCTCTCTCTCTCTCTCTCTCTCTCTCTCTCTCTCTCTCTCTCTCTCTCTCTCCCCCCCCCCTCCCGCCGTAACTCCCCACCCGCCCCCCTCCGCTCAGCGCCTACCACGACCCCCCCCACCGGCCTGTCGCAACCGCCCCAGGTGTCCGCCGCAGCCCCCCCCCCCCCCCTCGCACCTTCCTTGTGGCGCCACTGTGCATACCCAAAGATTGCCCACCCCATATTCTTTTACAATTTATCTCTCCTATTTGGGTGGGCGTTGTTATAGGATTTTACAGTAGTAAAACAAAATGTAAAAATAGGGACACGGGGATACACCATACCTGATGCGATTGAGGATGTCCGTTCCTGCCTGGTCAAGAAGGGAACGCTGCAGCACCTCTTGCGGGAATCGCTGCCTGCTCCGACAGATGTCTTCTATCTCCTTCCGCACTTTCTGGACACGAGAGAAAAGCTTAAAAATGTCAGGTCACGGATACTTCAGGTCGTAAATTCTAATCTAGAGTTCTCTTACACCACTGGTACTATAGGCAACAATATGAAAGGAAACAGACTTCCTCGCTTTTTTGACGTGTACCTAAAAAATTTTGGAACATTTTATGGCCCCGATGAAGGCTAGAACGGAAAGTTTAGATCCCAAACTACATACTATTTGACAAAGGTTGTGGGGGTTGTGAAACTGAAAAGAAGATAGGGGAACTATATTCCCTTACACATTATTGCTGACGGTATATACTACTCAAGGAGTGTCCGAGGTCAGTCAAGTGTCAAAATGCTGCAGAAAAAAATGCCGGTAACAGTACCTCCTCGGACATGATGGTAGGGCACTGATCTTCGATGCATTTCAGCATATTAGAAGCGGTTCCCTGCCAAGAGATGTAAAACAATTAGTACCATAGCTTGACATTCAAGTGCTAGAAGTTTTCGAATTGAATGAAAGAAGAGGCTTGAGAGTCATACCTTGAGGTAAGCATTCAGTGTTTTCTCCATTTCATCTACACAACTCTGCAACTTTAATTCGATGGGGTTGCCGGCCTCCTCTTGCTGAAGAACCACTTCGTGTAGTCGGGTCAGTAGCTAAGTAAGAAATCACCAAGTTCGTGCAAAACGTTAGAAAAGTCACCAAGTAAAAAGAAACAAGTGCAGGTGGCATTCTCATTCCTACAGAGTGCTGAAAAGTAATCTGTAGAAAAGAAACAATTTCCCAGAATACTACTCTGCCTCAAGTGTCATCTAAACTTATGCCCCACAAATTGTCACACGCATAAAAATTAAAAAAAGTTAGTGAACCTCATCCTTCATGTTCAGGTCTAGGCATAAGAAAAGAAAAGGGAACTTCGGAATACCTGTTTTGCACTGCTGGCATCCTTGAGATACCCTTCAGCCTTCGCTACTTCTTCGTTGTAGGTCACTTCTTCCGAGGACGAAGCTTGAGCAGTCCTCACAACATCTTGGAGGTGAAGCATCCACCTATCCACCATCTGAAAATGAGCAAACAAACAAAGGAAGGCAAGAACATACATATAAGCAATTTTCTGTGGAAACTATCGACACCTTTTTCGTGTCTTTACTAGGGACACCCTCACAAACAAGTGTTTACCAACATGCAAAGTCTAGATAGATGAAATTTGGATGTAGCAAAGTGATTTCTGACTCCGGTTACAAAATAAATTTATTTAAGTTCAAACATTTATTTCTTGCATAGGAGAATCAGTTTTTCCTTTGGAAGAACATTAAAAACAAGTTACTACCAATTTGATAATGTTCACATGCAAATGAACTGATCAGCACCAGTAAGTGAAGATGTCTTTGAACAATATTGTCTGAGGGAAAGAAGCACAACGCCATCCTATAACCGAGCAGTTGAAAAGGTTCCCAAATTTTCTTACTTGTTGAGTCGAGCTGAGAAGGAAACCCTGCTGTAGCCTAAATGCCTGACTGTTGCTGTACTTCTTGGGGGAGACATTACGGTGCAGCAACTCTGAAATCTGAAAAATCCAGAAATATGCCCCAACACAGTTAATATATCTGTACGAAAAATTTGGGGACTTGTTCTTTAGACGGCTGCTCACAAGCGGCCATTTCTTTCCTTCTCGCGGTCGAGAGAGCTCCAGCAACGCTGCAATTGGTGCTTACGAACAAAAACCATGACACTTCGCTGGAGGAACCTCGTAACGAAGGCGACAGACGACATTGTCCTATGATCGTCGCGTGCGAGAGTGTCCTATGGTCCGACAGTACACAGGACCAGAGTCTTTACGTTGCTTGGTATCCTTGGGGCTTCATGTAAATAAACGCCGTTATATCTGCATGCCTTGCGGTATGGCTTCTTCGTTGCTTCCATGTTTATGGACGACGGTGAAAACAAGTGAACCTGGTCTGGTTGCCACTTCCGGAAGCTATGAGACCGATCTCTCCTTGTCACTGTCAACCTTTTCTGATCTTGACATTCCGTTTAATTTTACTCTCATATGAGGATGGAAGATATGATATTGTGTAATACAATACCCAAGGCCAACAAACGAATAATGAATCAGCCCAATAAAGTTTCACTTACCACAAGACGACTCTGAAACTACAAGCAGAAGAATCAAGACTAGACCTTGCCCAAGCGGGGCAACCTCCAGATAGCTTCCGCCCCATTTCTGACTGCACGGTAGTTGAACAGGATGCCCACCTTTTTCCACGCGGTTTCCGTGCGCTCGGGTGCGATTTTCATGGCCAGAGTGATGTCCACCACGGGGCAAGGCATATACTTCAAGGTGAAGTTTCTGCAGTGGAAGATGTTATAACATTTATTAGACAAAAAAATAGTATACCACAGTAACATACCATGGGAAGTGCCCACCCCACTTTCACTGAAAACTGGGTCTAGACATGGACATTTGTCCGGTCAAATATGTAAAAACCAAGATGGCGGGTGAACGGAATCGGAGAAAGCACTTTTCACATGATATCCCCGTCATTGCCGCTGGCGGTTTTGTGGCCGCTGGAATGGGGCGAATATTTCCGACTGACAGTCGTGCTTTTGAGGGGGTGGGCGTTTAACATACAATTTGCAGAATTCCTAAGTATGGGAAATGTTTATAGTTGGCGCTTGAACAAAGTGGGAGCCTTCGCGGTATTTTACGGTATGTATTTTGCACAGCACCCACTCTCAATGTACTAATTCATATAAAAGTCTTTCTATTTTTTTTTTTTTTTTTTTAAAGATTTGTTGCAGTACAATTATATTTAGAAAGTAGTTGAACAAATATTTTTTGTCTTTTTCTGCAACTGGGTAAGAAGTAGATGATGAAGTCAAAGCACAGTTCATATCATACTTCTCCAGAGCATATGCAATGTCCTGGAAGCCTTGTGCAGGTGTAGAATTCCGATCCCACAAGATGCTCTTTAGTTTTGAGTTGATCTGCAAGGCCTTAGCCAGTGTCTTCGCACCGTTCAAACCCATGTAGTTGCCACTGCACGAAATGAGAATCACGCCGGTTTGAGAATTTACTGTGTGAGCAAACTACAGAGAAAACAGAGAAAACAAAAGTCGGGAGAGATACGCACGTGATGTCGATGGAAGTCAGACACTGGTTGCTGCCCAGAGCGTTGATCACCAGACAGAGCTCACCCCGCAGCTTCGAGTCGGCAACTGACAGCGACTCCAGGGCAGAGTCCTTTTCCTGAATCAGCTGCACCACAGCTTCCATAATGCGCGTCACATGCCTGCAAAACGTACACCTCTCTTGTCAGGTCATAACACTAACATTTGTCTAAAAATTTACTCATAAATTAATTTTTTTTAAGCATTCAGTTTTTTTTCAAGAACTCTACATTATTTCTATAAACCATACATCCAATTCTGTTTGAAATTCAGGAGCAGACCATCACTCTACAACTCACTTTGTCTTCATGTTGGCAAAGTTCCTGCCAATGGAGAGTCGCTTGATGGACGGGTTCTTCCCGACAGCTGCCACTATGTTTGCAAGATCCTGATCAAAGTCTGAAAAAGACAATGGCAAAACTGCAGCCACCCCACTTTCCTCCCATACCATCGACAGCCCTTACTGTTTTCACTGATGTCGAGACTGTGAAGACAACGAATCCCAGGCAAACATGACTCCAGCACCAAAGCCCCCTGAGTCTTGAGGTCATTGCAGCTCAGGTCCAGCCAGACATCGGTGAGGATCTCATTGCAGGCCAGGCCAAGCAGCATGGCCCTGTCAGGCATCAGACACGACATCAGCTAGCACATTTTAATGTTCCCTACGACCAGGAGCACCCATAAGTAGAACTGTCATTAGCTAGAATGTCAACGACAAGTGCACAAAGTAGTACTCTCGAACTAAAAGTGCTACACTGATGTACGAAGTAGGAGATATTGACCTGCAGCCCACCCTCATTGGGCCAACAGTTGCGTGACTCTTCCTGCAGACCTGCCCAGAACATCTCGACGCTTCCACAGCCAACACCCAATGACTGCAAATTCTATCTTTCTTACACCCACTGCCCAACCGGCATTCATGACAAAGTGAATCAACCAAATGGTGCGACACTGAAGGTGCAATGCACGAGACAATCTATACATTTATATTTATGGATTATTAATATAGTTAGCCCTACGTTATTGGGGTTCATGGTGTCAACATACATAGAACCAATTGTTCAGCAATGACTGGGCATCAACTTTTGAGGAAAACAGGACTAGACAACAATTTGCACCGAGGTTACATCTGGTGGACGTAGAAGGCTGTCACGTGAAAATTTAGAATCCTGGCCGAGCATGCGAGAGGTATGAAGCTTGTGCAGACAGCCTCGTGAGGTCACAACACTCTCTCAAATAAAAGAAATGTGACTAAAATGCACTAAAGAGGAAGGCAGATCTCAACTAAAGTCACAGCTAAAGAGCCAACGAAGGAACTTACTTGAGGGCTTCCATGGGCATCCGAACGTTGGACATGTTCAGGTGGCGGAGGGCCACGGTGCTGGAAAAGAAGGTCTTGAAGGAGGGCGGCACCAGCACCTCCTTGCTCTTCTTGGTGCTGTACACATTACGCGACAGGTTCAGATGCTCCAGCTTCTGCGTGCAGCCTCGCAGCAAGGCTCCAAACACCTGCTCGAGAGCAGTATCAAATCAGACAGAATTGCAGATAAGTTGACGAATAAAAACGCAATAGAGAGTGAGCAGAGCACAGTTCCAGATGCATGCATTGAAAGAAGGAAGCCCCAAGGCAACACAAGTCCTTACAGTCTCCAGGGCGCACTCTGTGCCAGATAAGTCCAGGTGGACCAAAGAATTCGGCTGTGCTAAGTAGTTGTAGAGGTTCTGAAAGAGTGCGTTTTTTAAGTGAAGGCAGCTCAACCCCCCCCCCCCAGGCAGCGGCTGGACTTACGTTGATGTCATCCTTGAAAGCGTTGTCGCTCAAGTTGAGGTACAAAAGGTTAGAGGGCATGGAGCGGTTCAGGGAGAGGGCGTGAGCGAGGGTGTTCACACCCTTGGCAGTGATCCCAGTACGCGCAAGGTTCAGGTGGCTCAGTCCTTTGTGCAGTTTCCCGAGAGGTCCACAGAGCTGTCCGACCCCTGGGAAGGAGAAGGCTCAGATTTCAAGCCGGCTCCCTGTCAGCTTTCGAGCCTGAGCTCCAGTAGTGTGCATGCGGTCCATCAGAGTCGCTACAGCAGCACGGTATGGACAAGCGCCTACAATTCTGCTCAAGTCCACACTGACAAGGACACAGCCACAAGCAAGCGACTAGTAGCTCGTACTAGGGAAAATGCTCAATACAGAGCAAAGGCAAAGCGTGACACACTTCATTAGTTGCAGTTTTTACAGTTGAGCACTATTGCAAAGTAAGACATTAAAAAAAAGTGAGACTTATAAATACCCTTGACCCCAGATCAAAATTGGTGCATTCGCAGTAGATAATGCTTTTCACCCATGCAAACAATCACATAAGCAAAATCAACATGCATAAGAAAATGGCATGTTCTTGCGATAAAAGAGCCTCTCCATGATACTTGCTTGAAGACTGCCATAATGTCAGAGTAATAGCAATACTTCAGACTAATTAGTCGGCAGAAGAACCTCATTAATGGGTGCTTTCACGGCTACTGCCAGGAGGCACCTACTTGACAAACTTCCTGGCAACTTTGACTCTTTACTTCAACAGCAACTTAGCTGGTAGGCATCTATACTTTTGTATCAGCATAACTAGGAAGAGGGCGAAAGCTATGGCCTCCCGTGAGCCAATCAGAGACACAGAGAGAAGCACATGACAGTACACTACAGAAAGCACACACTCCGACCGTTCATTGTTACATGCCTCGCTCAGATGCTCCGAGTGGCTTGCTGGGGCCGTACTACGGTGCCAAGAACGCATCTCCAAGCAGTGTGTTTGCCGTGTCCAAAGAAGTGGTTCCTCAATTTCCGCACGATGACATCACATAGTGTCACATTGTGTGCGGCTGCGATCCTGGTGGCGACACAGCAGTTGGGACGCCGCAATGACAGCGACTCTTGTATGCTCTCATTCTCTTCTTAAAACTTCTACGACTCACCGCCAGGATTGCGACATCCAACATCACGACACTTTGTCTTTTGGGACGTCATTTGTTGCCACTTGGGAGCCACTTTTAAGGCATGGGCGGAACAGGACGCTAAGCACACCAGCCGGAGACGCGTTCCAGGCATCACAGCCATACTTTCCGCAGTCCGCCAAGTTTTGTTCAAAGGGAGTATAGTGTGCCACTACAACCTTTCCATGTTTTCTGCAGCCAACGTTATTTAGCAATCGTGAACCACTGCAGTTGTGTCCCGTGAAAGTGCACTGGAAACAACTACAGTTCAATAAGATACTTTTAAACGAGGTTAGCGGTATTAGCATTAAAATGTCATTTTTCAACTATTTGTATATTCTTGCGAGCCTGACAAATGAGGGCTATGGGGCTGAGGTAAAACGCACGGAAGTGCCACAAAGCCTTAAAAATTTCAGGGGGAACAAAAATAAATTGATAGAGTGTGTGTGGCCAAACAATCATTTAAACTAAACAAAAAATAAATCCCATTGCAACCCAAGATGACTGCAATACACCCTTGCTTTGGGAGACTGTCATATGTTCTCTGTTTCAGAAAATGACCCTCCAATTTTCTATTTTCCTAGCACCCATAAAACCTATGAAATTCAATGAAACCCAAGCAAAAAATATAAGCTTTGTGCTAATTGACAAATAAGGTGCAGAGAGAGTAGAGAGAGTTGGCCAAACTCCCACATCATCTGAAAAATACCAAAGATTATTCATGATAAAATAATGCCCCTTGAGGCTGTTTTCATGTCAATTCAGGCAAGGTTTTGAGGTCGAGTTTTTGGCACATCGGTGATTTCGCTTCACATTGCACTACAAGAAACTTTGTCCAAATTGCAAGCTAAAAACATACTTTTCGTGTAAGGCTCGTCAAAACATTAGGCACTGGAGAAAATCGGCCATCTGCGTTAAGTCCTTATTTCAAACTCTTTTTGTACACATTCCACCCATTGAAAAGCATTACGAAAGAGTATGTGCCTTATCTCGCCACCCTGCCATCTCCTTCTGCACGATAAAGTCCGTTTGCTGTGGTCAGCATCACCATGGGAACGAAGCGTCTGCTTTATGGGCGACGGAGATGTTTTGGTGGCGCCACCCTGCGGGCGCCCTTTTGTGATGGAGCTGGTAGGATGCGAGCAGACGATGCACTATGTCAAAGCACGGAGTGGCTATGTTAGTTCACATTTGTGCTGATTAAAACGGTTTATTTATTAAAGAAACATGTATGATGTTTTTGTGAGTGATCATTCTAATGAATAATAGCCTGGAGCTTCACATTACAGCTTGCGTGGCGTGTGTTGAGGCTATTCACAGCCTCTCTAATTCTTTTTTCTTTTTTTGAATCCATGGATGTTGTAGAGAAAGGTTTTGCATTCACCAGAGTAGAAGACGTGCTCTTTTCTTAACTGTGCACGCGCACACAGTTGTGTTGCAAAGCGCCGCACATTTGTTTCAACTACATTGAGCTTGCCGATACCGACGCTTGTATCTAAGTGCGAGTCCACAGTTGCTGACGAGGAAATGCTCGCCAGCAACTGACGCTTAGCTACTTCTGCATCGAATATGTGGTAAAGAAGTTTGTCACATCACGACTTCTCCTCGAAGGAAAAGCAGAAATTTTCATAGATTCTTAAATTGTCGGACATGCCCTCCAAACTCATGCAACTGATTAATTGGTTCTATCCAATTTTTACTAAGAATTGTTTACTAATTTAAAATCGCTCGCTAAGAAGCACATTACGCATTACTCGCATTTGGGTCCCCAGAAATTAAACATAAAAACGGTAGTAATTCATAGCAGGGGTATGCCTCATTTTTTGAGGCACTGAAAAGTCAATGACTTACTAGATAAGGCTTAGATTGCAAGGGGGTCTCGCACATTTTGCGTTGACACAACAAATAGAAAAAAGCGCCTGTACCGTGCCGCAAAGTTTTCCACTTGTGAGCATCGCTGGAACGCGTATCAGAGTTCAGCGGATGCATGCAAGAAAACGAATGCAAAATCAAACTATTTTACACATAGCCTCCCAGAGATGTTGATAAATAATCCCTCAATATTTTATAATCAAACAAAAAAGACAGTTTCTCAGTGTCACTTAAAGGAGCTGTGCAACAATTTCAGTGCTTTGCTTAAAGGGAAGATGGGGCGGTTCTGCATTTGACAAAAAACACTTGAATTGTGTTCACTTGGCCGTTAGAATAACAGATATCACAATTCTGTTTCAATGTGATGCGCCAGAGAGCCATAAGAGCAATTTCAAAATGGGGCTGAAGCCCCGCTTCCTTAGCCTTGGGCAGCCAAAAAATCCGTCGATGACATCACATACAGCGGCTGTCTTTCGCGTTTTCTTGCGTTTAACAATACTTGCGCAGCAAATGGTTTGGGTATTCGGGTTCACAGGGTAAAAATACACTAAAATTCACTTCTAACTCATTTTTTTCAAGAAGCTCTGTAGCTTCCCTTTAAATAATTTGGGAGTCGGTGCCTCGACCTTTCTGAAGTAAAGAACAAAAAAACGCTTTTGCCTGCATGTCCTAGTTTTTATTTTAAAAAAATGACAAAGATTGAGGTTTTCGGCACCTCTCAACTCCTTCAACATCTTCAGAGTCACGTGCGCTGTGATGTGAAAGGAGGACGCACGGGGTTCCGGTGAAGCTCTCTCTCTAGAGCCATCAGTGAGCAGAGAGAACTCACCCATTCGCAATCATGTGACCATGTGCTTGTGCAGCGCGATCAACATGGCGAAAGGAGGAAAGTGCCAATGTGCTCGTTCAGGTCTGGCCATCCCCGTCCGGCTCTGCCCCCGCCCAACCGGCTCCTGGCAACTGTTCACGGTAGCAGATAGAGCCGACGGTTTTGTTGACCTCGGATAGATGGTGCCACTAAAATTCTGGATAATCAAAGTTTTGTCGAGGATACCAGGTTTTTGATGCATTTATACTTATGTTGGAACGACAAGATTTATGGAAAAATTGCCTTTTATCGAGCAGGTATTTGCACAACTTGCTATATTTCTACACGTCCCCTTTGATGTCTCGCTGCGTGGCTCTCATGGCCGCCACTTGCGGCTGCAGGTCGGAAAATGTTTTAATTTTTGCCTCGCGATTACGCGGCGGAATCGCAACATTCTGAAGGAAGGAGATGTGTTTTCTGTACTTCGTGACAAGATAAACAATGTCAAAAGTAGAAGATGCAAATTCTTTCAATGTTAAAATCGTTGCACAGCTCCTTTTAGTCTTCAAATGGTGATCACGTGCCCAGCAAAGAATGTGTCAATACGTTAAATAATATGTTCATTGAAGAGTCTTCAAATGTTAGCAATCTTGATAGTCCTTTAATGGAATGTGCCCGTTACCTACCAATTAATTATATTTCTGTCGATCCTGTTGGTATAACTAAGATTACTGATGGGCTGAAGTTGTCTTCTTCATCAGGTGTGGATGGAATTAACTCCCTGTTTCTTAAAAATACTAAAATGTACTCCTAACTAATGTTACTAAATATTCTGAACAGTCACTGCGAGAAAGTGCTTGACCCTCTGACTGGAGAGCAGGGAAGGTGGTTCATATTCCAAAAGGTGGGAATAAACATTCTCCCAACAACCACCGTCCTATCTCAATAACCAGCATCCCATGTAAACGCCTCGAGCACAACATCCTTTCCCACCTCGTGAGATTCTTAGAGACGAATAATTTCTTCACCACAGCACAACACGGATTTCGTAAATCATTGTCATGTGAAACTCAGCTTCTAACATTCACCCATGACATTCATTCTATCGTTGACCGTGGCTCCCAGGTAGACTGCATTTTCTGAGACTTTGCCAAAGCATTGGATAAGGTGTGTCACAAGCTTTTTCTACTAAAGCTGGGTAAACTCAACATCGACCCTAACCCTTCGCAATTTGTTTCAGTCACTAATAGCGTGTCTCCACTTGTGTCCGTTAATTCTGGCTATCCTCAAGGGTCAGACTTAGACCCCTTATTATTCTTAATTTATATTAACGATTTGCCTATCCATGTGTCTTTGTCTATCTGTCCCTCTGCCGATGATTGTGCAATTTAGAGTGAAATTCAAGATATTTCTGATTTGTTTTCACTTCAATCCGACATTAACTCTGTCTCTCGTTGGTGCAAGTCGTGGCCAATGAAACTAAACACTAATAAATGTAAACAGATGAGAGAGTCCCATAAACCTAACAACGGCCCGTGTTATTACTTTGATGACAACTCTTTGGAACAAGTATCATCTTACAAATATCTCGGTGTTCACTTCTAACCACTCATGGAAACCCCATGTTCAGCATATCACTTCTCGTGCTAACTGCATGTTGGGCTACATAAAATGTAACTTCCCATTGGCACCTATTTCACTTAAATTGATTTTATATTAAAAATTTAATCCAAACAAAGCTGGAATATGCAGCTTCTATCTGGGATCCGAGTCACAATACCCTCGTCATGGCGCTAGAGGCTATCCAAAATCGCTCAGCTCGTTTCATCCTATCGAACTATCATCGCACTGCTAGTGTCAGATTGATGAAAATGGGTTTATCTTTACCATATCTTTCTCTGTGCTGTAATATTTCATGTTTATTTCACAAAATTAATTTTCATAATCTCATCTCACACGCTTATTATAGCTCTCCCCTTCTACATTTTGTCCTGTGTTGATCATCAACATAAAGTAGGCGTCCCAAGCTCACTAACAACTGCATCTCACTCATCATTTCTTCCTCGCACAACACAAGAATAGAACCACCTCCCTGGTTTAATTGATACCATCACTGACCCTAATTTATTTTGAAATGCCATCACTAACCATATTTTTCAACGGTTCACGCAAATTTGTTGCAGTGCTTCCTCCCATCTTTTTGTACCTGCTCTCCCCCTCAATAATGCCTTTGGGCCCTGAGAAATAAATAAGTAAATAAATAAATAAATAAGCAGGGATTTATTTGAAACAACTTCAGAAGCCAGCCTCCACTTCTCCTGCCAGTTATTTTGAGGAAATGTTTGTTTACAAATATACAAAATTCAAAAAGGAATCAACATAGAACTAATAAGAGACCAGCACTCGCAGAATACACTGGAACCAACAGGGATACACCGAGTCGCTTTTATTGAAGTGTTTACTACACACGCAAGAAGTTCTCGAATATTTCACTTTACTATCTTCAATTTGATGAGACATTCCTTTCTCAGTTTGATTTTGTCCGAATCATAATAAAAAATACACCCTATTCGCCAAGGTTGATGTTGTAAAGAGGTAAAGCACTGGATATTCCATTTTCATCATCCAGCTTTTTGTACTGGGGTAGAGAACAGCACACCACCATCCCAGCGCTTCAAACACCTCAGCACCAAAAGTGTTTGTTAGCACGACTACGCATGCCACGGTTTCAAGCTTTGGTAAAATGTCCTACTATAAATATCTCTTCACCAAATAAAGACAACGCGTGAAAAAGGCTTTGCCACGCATTAACCAAACAGCACATGAAGCGAGCTGACAAGCCAAGGGATCCAAGATCTGCGCGGTCTGTCCCAGCCTGTCGTCCCCGTGATGTCACAAACGATGATGATGATAGCTAGAGAAGCACTGCCTGCAGTTCGCGCACGCCGCCAATAGAGGAATGCACGAACGCAGCGTCTGAAGCCAGCAACGAGAGACGCAATCTTTCAAAAGACATCTGCTAACGTGACTGCCGCAACGCTAGCAAAAGTCAGACGTGCCATTATGAAAGTCAATGCTCGGAGCAGAAAGCAATCACCTGGCGAACCCTTGGCGACTCCAACGGGGCTTGGTACCTGCTCGGGCCTGAGGTTATATTAAAGATTTCCCGAGTGAAGCGAGGGGTGACCGTGAGCAGTGCAGTCTGTTTGGCAGCCTAGCTTGGAGCCCAAGCTAGCGTTCCGCAATGGTAGCAGAGTGCATTCGGAAGATGCCGAGGCTGTAGCTGACCTCCGACACTGCATTCGCGTGCGTGTCTATTGACATTCGGTGACCATAGCAGGTGTGGAAGGAGGCGATGGTGTACCAAGATCGGGTGCATACCTGTTCTTTTTCCATGCTTTTCAATGGGCGAAATGTGAACAACCGCAGATGGCCGACTTTCTCGAGCACCTAACATTTTTATAAGCCTTAAACAAGAAACATGTTTTTTTGGCCATCCAAGGGCTGGTTTTTATTCCCTGGAACATGGGGCTAAAGAATCAAACTGCAGAATTTTTAATTTTGACCAAAAAGGTGTGTGTTCTGGGAGCATTGTTGAAATGAAGGACAGCGCAAAACGGCAAGCTTGAAGGATTTTTTTTTCCAAGTTGTTGACCACCCAAGTGGTCAAGGCGAAAACTGATGCTTCTCCAATCGGTTAGGGATTGCATGTTTGACTGCTCGCAATTTTCTAATTTTTCAAGATGAAGCACAAGAACTCTTTTGTCACACTCTCAAAGTAGATTTCATTAGGCTTAAGGAATTGAAAAAGCTCTTATAATTTAAAATAATAATAATAAAGTTTTTCTTTGATGATTTTCAACAAAGTTTGGCAAGTTCTTAAGTGTGAACTTTTTTAGAAATTTTAATGACTCTGACATTACCAGAAAGCTCAAATCTAGCTCTTTCCAATGAATAGAAACTCAATATCATATATGCAATATAACATTTGTTACATACATTTGAATGAGTAAACGTTTTGAAAATCGAGCTATTGCAAAATCAATTTTCTCACAGGTTCTACATCCAAAAGTGGCATTGTGCGGCAGAGTCTGCACAAGTTTCCGAAAGATCAACGGGATCGGGATCAATGGCTGGCTGCAATTCCGGCAGAACAGTTGCGGGCACCTCGGAAATTGGACGCGACCCGATTTATATGCTCCTTGCATTTTGTGGAAAGGGACTACATTGAGTTTGCAGGAGTCAAAAAGGGAGTCCCATACCATATAGTTCAACAATGTTTCGTCCACAACATTTGTTGTTTTTTCATTAATAATTGAAAAAAAAAAAAAAAAAACGACTGTTCGCCTTTGTTACTTTACAGTTTCAAATAGTCGTTTTCACAAATCGTTTTATACGAGACCCAATAGGGGACAACTGCCTGAGCGATGTCTTCAGTCACGAGAAAGGGCGACGACACTGAGACGTCTTCGTGTGAATCGGCTTGGTGGTTGGGTGTTCTCTTTTGAAGGAAGACAAATTCGCCGATACCGCGAACGACAGTTTTGAAGTAGAGGTCCCACTCCCGTTGTCCGAAGCCGCCGCTATCGCTGTCCAGCCCGCGAGTCCCACGATATGCGATATGACTCCATGTTGAGAATTACGCAGTGAATGCACAGAATGCTTCCGAATCTCTGTGCAACTTTTTTTTTCTTTTCAGTCAACGTATTTGAAGCTTTTAGGAGCTGCAAAAAATGGGTTTCATCTTTTTTTCTACTTTTAATATTAATATTTAATATTGCTAAATTTCCCGCTAAATTTAGTGGGGAATTTTTTTCTGCTAAATTTAGCCGAGAAATTTGGGGAATTTTTTCTGCTAAATTTAGCGGGGAATATTTTCTGCTAAATTTAGCCGTGAAATTTTTCTGCTAAATTTGGCGGGTTAAGTTTCCCCACCAACTTTAGCGGAGATTTTTTTCCGCTAAATTAGCTGGAAAATTTCTCCGCTAACTTTAGCGGGGAAACGTCCCATAATGCAACGCGTGGTTAAGCCGCCGCCAACACCGCTCGACCCGAAAACGGGCGCCTAAAAGCTGTGCTCTAAAAATGTAATTTCTCGATACTCAAGCCCTCCAAAACATGAAAATGTAAAAAGGAGATGCAAACATAGTGTCAGTCTCACTTTCAGTAAAGGTGCCAATATCCTTATATTAAAAAGAGTGAAATTTTGAATATAAAGACATGCCCACAGTAACAATACAAGAGGACAACACATGCTGAAAAATTTTGCTTCACAGCAAAAGCATGAGCCAAGCAAAAGTTACTATTCCTTTTTCACATATGTTCAAAAGTAGCAAAAGTTTGTGTCAGTAAACCTCATAACCTGTTTTTTTCTTCAAGTGCAGCATTCAGAAGCCTGCAATTGACGCTATCCAACAATTTTTTTTAGGCAGCAGAGTAATCAACAAGGTTCTACCGTGCCTTTGAGTTTTCCGGTTGGGGAAACTAAGCCAAGTGTTAGTGATGCTACATGCACAAACTGTGCAACTTGTGTAAACAACTGCAAGTTACCTCGCTTTAACAAATGTGTGAAAAAGACTAATACCAGAAATGGAAGAGAGGGTGCATATAGTGTGTCAAGAGTATGCCAACAATCACAGTACACGTGCTACTACCACTACTGCAGGCAACATGCTCGTCAAAAAGACTGTGTGCACATGCATACACAGAAATTATTTGGAACTTCAGACCTTGAGTAATTTTGGCAATGATCCCACAGAGACTACTGAGCCCTGTACACAAAAAAGCAAAAAACTGTAGAGCCACAAATGACAAGGGTATACCAGTTGATTCTGCTGGAAACACTGGCTCTCGTCAGTGAAACATGTTTGCAAAAAGTGACTAAGATCATTAAAAGATAGTACAAAATCAGACTAACATTAACAAGAAAAAAAAAAAAAAGCAGTAAGCAGCAAAGTTCAATATGTTGGTACTCCCCGCCCACTTAATCAATGCAGAGAGGCTAACTACACTAAAACATCCAGTAACTTTCAAAAGTCTTGCACTACGCAAGGTCCAGGCCACCTTTGTAAAAGATGACCCAAACTTAGATGCCATAATAAATTAAATCGGTAAAGGTTTTTACAAGGGGTCAGAAGTCATAGGAATTTTAGCCTCTACGAGCAAATGGCAGAAGTTAAGGTTGATGCTAAGCACACACACTGTGCCTGTGCAGACAACATGCCTCTCAAATTTTCTTGCCTAGCAAACTCAAGTGCAAGACCTGGGTACTTCCCCAGCCAGTGAAAGAACTTGAGCTGTACCTACTTTAGGTCATTTGAGACCTTTTGGAGACCTCTTGGCCATTTGTATATTTCTTCATCTTTGGTCATTAAATAGCTCGAAGAAGAAAAGGAGAGAGAGAAAAAAAACACACATACAGCAAGGACTGGTGCTATGTGTGTGTTTTCTTTATTATTATTGTCTTGCTTGCACTATTTAATATTTATCAGCATGAACCATCTAGCCCAATCAAGAGTCGTGCTACTTGATCTTTCCTTGCACTCCTACTTTTCCATCAGCTTTAATCAATTCCCGACAGGTGCCTGCACATACTCTTTGCTATGCCCATTAAATATGGGAGCAGCCTCATGAAAACAAATGCAGCAACTTTTTAAAGCATCCTGGCTTACCCTTGTCTTCAATCAAGTTGTTGGACAGGTCTAGGGAGTTCAATGGCGAATTGGGATTGGCAATCAGTGTCATGGCGAGCTTATGAGCAAACTCCCTGAAACAGAAATGAATGAATGATGTCATGCACATACCTCTGCATGCACCTCACAAACATACCATTTGATACCAGTGTTGTCCAGGTACAATTCCTCCAGTGACACAGAGCGCTTCATCATCTGGAGTACTTGTTCAAGTGCTTCTGATGCCTGGAATGACATCAGAAAATCCATTAACATTTTTTAAATGCAAATGGATTTAGTTTCTACAGGTCCGCAGCTGTGCAAGCATCCATATCTGATGTACTTTCCATGAAACACAGGCTACTCAATTGCACAATCATGTAAAACAGCGCAATCCTTAGGTGTGATTAGTTATGTCAATGTGGACTGTTATTGCCCATGCAAGTTTTTGATGAGGAGTACTATAAAAGTGCTGCAGCTACAACTGCAAAGAGTATGCACTACTTACGAGTTTCACATTGCTTGCCTTAAACTTTGTGAACCATGCATTGTAACAAAGTGCTGATATGATTGGCACCAAATCTCTGAAATACATACACAAAAAATACAGCATTACAAACTATTGACGACTGATCCAGACACACATGCTCTAGTGATACCCGAAATGTAAGCAATAATAAAGGCACCAGCATTCTCTAAACTGCCAATATGCAAAATAAACATTAAACCTGTATTCATTTTTTTTATTGATTATATTAGAATATAACAGCAACACCAAAAGCCCACTCCTACAGACTGCTGTCTCTGTTGAAAAGACTGAGCAAAGTTTTCAGGAGAGCCACGATGAATTGAACAGTACCGTGCAATGTAAAGATAAAATTTAGCCCAAATATTAGGAGTCTGGATCAGCAGCATTCTACTTGTTCCCAATTTTTGTAAAGTCTAAAGCAATATGATATAGTCAACAAAATATGCATTGAATCGGAAAACCTATGGGAAGGGGATCAATCAAGGTGGGAACAAAGATCCATTACAGACAATTTAACCACAGCTCCTTGCACCAATGCAGAAATGACGTATACTTCTGGTACACATTTAGATAGGTAGAACTAAAAATCAGACAAGAAACGTCAATGGGTGAATAGAAACCAAGCAATGAAACAAATGAGCCCTATTCCATGATAGAAACCAACAAACTGCCAACCTACCGTCCTTCTAAGTGATCGAAGTCCAAGAGTGACAGCTCTTTGGTGTCATGGGACAGGTAAATGGTATCCACATCCTAAAATAAAAACATGAATGCACATGCATCAAACAATGGATTGCAATCAGTCGATAACTGGCTGAAAACAGGACCAAGCAAACCAATGTTGGATAAAGTACATCTAAAACCTACTGGAAATAAAGTACAAAGTAAATTAGAATTTATGTACTTGAAGAAAAGTAGTAGTAAGTATGCCAGGCTCAATGTACTTGAAGTAAAGTATTATAAATACAATGTACTTTCAAAGTGAATAAGTACAAGTACTTTTTAACACAATCTTTCAGGATGCGCTTCCATTCCCCTATAGTGGTTTTGCTTTTTTAAACTGGTATGCGTTGCCCCAGAGGTAATCGGAGGTGCATTAGTTATTGTCTGAAATGGCAGAAAATATTGGATGAAGTCAAGTGGCCAGAGAATAGGTAATTACGGAAATGGTGCCATATTCATAAGTCCCTCCGAGTTCTCAATTCTCTGCCACTTGCACTGGCTTGCACTCAAGGAGGTTAAACGTACTGGGAGAGAGTGTGACCTCAGCCCCATAGCTTCTGCAAACGATTTCCTCGTAGAGGAGTGTCCTCTCCTAATAGTTTTAACCTCCTCGCTTGCACTGACCGAGCAAGTAGCTAGAGTTTGAAATTCTGTGGGAACACTGCCCCCAGCACAAGCAGAGCGATGGGTCGTCTGCACGCATTTCTGGCGAGAGTAAAAAGTTGACAAAGCATAATTTTGTGATAAAAGTTTGACAAGACCAAACTTGAGGGATGTACTTTGAAGCCGGGAGTTGTACTTTCCTCAAAAAGTACCAGAAAAAATACCTTAAGCACAAGCACATACTCAGAGAATGAACTTCAAGTAGAGTACAAGTTTTCTAAACCTGTGTGAAGTAGTATTTTAAGTACAATGTTCTTTAAACACTTTCTTACACTGATGTAAACACATCCAAGGACAGGGGCATAATAAAACTGACATCTTGTTTGAGTACCACGAGTCAAGGATCATCAGTGATTGGTTACGAAGGCATCCACAAACAATGCTCCAAATGCAACCTCACAGGTGTTACAAGTTCATGAGCTTCATCAGAGTTCAATGCTGCATCTTAATGTGAAACATTCTTTGGTTCGTCAGGGTGGGTCGCCAGGTTTAGTGAAGCCCAAAAACTTGACCACGAAGCTCAATGCTGGATGGCTGGTGCAAAGGTCATGTGATCAACACTGACTGGCTGATTCCGGCGAGTATGGGGGGCTTTGGAAAACTGCCAGGCTTCAGAACCCGACTAGCGCCAGTATCTTCATTCCAGGAACTGCTATCAAGTTGATATGCCGCGTGTTAAGTTATGTAATGAAGAGCATCCCGAGCGTAGGTGCCGGGCTCGGTAACGTTCCAGAGCAAGGGCCAAAACATTTCACGTGTAACACAATTGCCCAACAATTTGCTACAGAATTTTTTTTTTTAACTGTTATGAGGTAAAGGGACCAAAAAGTGATTTAAATTGAACCACCAAATAGGTGATCATGAGTGTCTACTGTGCATAAAGCAAAATTAAAAACTATAATTAGTCTTCTCAGACAAGGCTCACCCATGCCACATCCTCCCGGAAAGGCAGATTGTGGAAGTCACACATGCAGATGTACTGGGCCGAGAAGTTTCCACACGGCCCGGGGTCCGAGGCTTCGGCTGATTGATTGAAGTCTAACATCGGCTGAAGTCTCGCTGCGGGAACCGCCTCCACTCTCCTGATTATCAACCTGCACCCGTAATCAACTCTATCACTCACCCAAACAAAGGCAAAATGATGCTGGTCCCCACTCCAAGAGGTAAACAATGCACAGAAGCAGAAGTCAACTACAAACAATGTCAATGAGGAAAGCCAGACTCACTCTAAAGGCACTTGAGGAAATATGCTCTTCACAGCTGTCCCTAGCTGGATGATCATGTGGTCAACATCGTTTGACTCGGGGTCGATGGAATAGAAAGTGTACACTTTGTTCTCTATCGACAGGCATAGCTACAAGATAAGAGATGGATTATGCCATTATTGACAAGAAGAAAACTCAACAGTAAAGTTGCATTAGACATGAAGACAAAGCCAACCATTCCTACCTGATTTGGTTTCTTGCTTTCTATTGTTTGAATTTCTAAGTAGTGGAAAGAGTGTTCAATCTGTAAGGGAGGAAGCAGTTGACATATTCAAGCTTTTCCATTTGCCAACACATTCTCACTTGGCATGTTTTAGGCATCACTTTTTTCTTCCCCCTTCATTTCTTCTGTGTTTCACATACAGTGTATTAAAACATGAAAAAAGGATCTTTTTTACAAAAGAGGGTATGTGAAATATAACCTTTCCTTTTTTTTTTTTTTTTTGCAGAAGAAAAAAAAAAGGAAGAAGTAGATTTTGAAAACTTGTAGTTAGGTCCACACCTGCAAAGAGCATTTCCAGTCTCATTCACGTCTGGGACAATTACAAAATATCTTTTCAACATACCATTTTTTCAGTAGATATGTCACATTAGTATCTACCGTTTGACAATAGAGTTTTAGTAGACCGTTCCGATGGGCCTCCTGCGCTGAAGCTATGAGCGTATCGTGGCGCCCTTCGGTGGGGTGCGATAGAGTGTCCAAGCAGTACAATCCCGCGGCCCCGCACAATAACAAACCTGTTCGGGCGGTTGTTTACCTCTGCACGCAGCAGTTATCTGTGCATTCGCGTGGTCACAACTCAAAATGTGTCACCTGTAGTGGCCACTGCACAACATTACCCCGGGAAACCAAGCTTGCCGCAAGCTTCGTCCAAGCACATAGAAACCTGCGAGCAAGCAGCACGACCTCTATGCGTGCGAAGCGTTGCCATCAACAGTATTGTTGTGTCATCAACTGTCAGGAAGAACACCGGAGTAAACTTGTACAGATTCTTATCGAAACTGTACAAAGTTGAGTGGAGGAAATGCTGAATATACTAGCCGCCCAGCACACCGAATCAGCGAGACTTGTTTCTCTCGCCCTCCAAGTTGTTCTGCTACGGCAAAGCCACTCGATCGAGTGGCCGTGGCATGCATCGAAGCTTGAGTCATGCAAATAGTACGAACAGGAACACGTTATACTGTCCGACCAGTGGAGAGATCCAATTGAACTACGTCTTTTGCAATGTGAGATCAGCAATAAAGCGCCGTCTCAAGCGAGAGCTTTCCTTTAAAAAGATGAGAGTGCGCACACACCTATGCACTACAGACGGCAACAAGCATGTGCTGAGGCTGGAGCTCCTACTGCTGATCTTATGTTGCGTGAAGCCTACGGTGCAAATGTGTGAGAAAAGCTGCGAGAGCTCTGGAGAAGCAGCGTGTAGTAGGAACGATGAGCTCGGCCGAAAGACGGTTGGTCGCCGCTCAATCACTTGCGTCTGCTTTCATGCATTTTCGAGGTTGGTCATCAGCTGATCGCGTTGACTGTAAGGCGGGACTGCAGTTTGGGAGATTTTGCTTACAAGGCGTAATGCTTACTTCAAGCCCGACGTCACAAGAAGCTCGCTTTTTTTGCGAGTAACAGCGCGCCGACACCAAATTGGCGGCTTTTTGTAAGGCGCAGACATAGCTTGCATTGCCGAGTTTCTTCCCTTTACGAAGTGTTGAGAAACGAAAGCTTTCCACGTTTGAAGTCGGCTCGATTCTGTGCCGTAGAACAATCGCAGGGGGGGGGGGGATTCATACAGCCGGCCAACGTTTTCACGCAGGACAAATTCAAATGCGCAAGTTTGTACTACCCAATACTGAAAAAAAAATCTAAGGAGGCACTGCCAGTCGGTTTTTACAGTTTTTCCACAGTGCCTCCTGGGCAATGCAACAGGCCTATATTTCTGATAATGGTACCCAATAACGATGATGTGATGTACAGTGTACTCAACTGTTAAATATAAGTGGGGAGCAGTGGCCGGAGAGACTGCATGCATCATCTACCGGCTCACTCTGGCAGCTTGTACAGCAGTTGTTTTCTGGAGTTACACTCCCAGCTCGGCAACAATCACCAATGCAATGCGTGACTCGGCAATAAAAAAAAAAAAAAATCCCTTTTGATTTTGTTTTCTGTTTCGCTATTGTATTTTGAAAAATGATTGTTCTATCAATAAAGCTATGTTCTATGTTCTATGTTGTTTAAAGAAGGTGGCCTTTATCAGAGAAACTGCAAGATCACCAGATATTGGTAGTCAGCATGGTAAATGCGTATGTGACTAAACAGAGTGGCAAAAACAACAAAACAAACAAGTAAAAGTTTAAAGCGTGGGTGATAAACAAAGAAAGGAGGAGGTCATGTGATAATTCTATTGATAATTGTATCGGGGAGTGGAGAGGAGTGGTGGCAATCAGACAATCTCAAGAGCCGCCGCCTTATTCTCTGCGGCATCACGGATTTGCCTATACAAAATGCTTTAAAGTGTGAACTGATATCTGAATTTACCCAAGTTACTGAAGATTATGAGCTATTGTGTGTACGTTACAAAGAATGTTTTTTTTTTTTTTTGCCGTTGTGTATTGTGTATCTAGAAATGTATCCAACTTTATTGATTTCTTTGATATCTTTTGCAACTTTACAACAGTGAACCGTTATGTCCTTTTTCTCGGTGGTGATTACAATATTAACATCCATGCAAACACAACAGCGCAACAGGCCTTCATGCAGGCGATTGATATAAATGGCTTTGACTATTTGAAACGCAAGCAACGAGAGTCACTGGCTCCAGATCAACTTTAATTGATTTCTTTGTCACTAATTGTGATGTATCCTCTATAATAGCCAATGTTATTAGCGTTGATATCAGCAACCATCCACCAATATTTCTGTTGATTAACAAACCTCGTGCAGTAGAAAAGGCCCGTTACAAAAAACTTTTGAAGTGCGAAATGTTACTGATGTTACAATGGGGGTGTTTAGAAATGCTTCACTCGCCATAAATTGGGAAACAGTTTACTTGGAATTAGATGCCAATCGCGCATATGAATCCTTTTTACAAACATTTAAAAAGCTGTACAATGAGAGTTTTCCTTATAGAATCGTAAAACTGCCTACAAAATTGCACAAGCCATGGATGACGAAAGAGTTATTGCAAAAAGTGCATAACAAAACCAGCATGTACCAGCGCTTTTTAAATACAAGAGACTTCGAAGACCTAAGAGCCTTCAAAAGGTATCGTAACCAACTAACTGGCTTGTTAAGACGCGCGAAGTCCGCATACTACACAACTCTCTTTACAAGAGATGATAATAAAAATTTGCGCATACTCTGGGAATGGGTAAACAAGGTCTTGCGTCCTCACCACGAGCGTCAAATATTAGATAATATAAACTGCGGAGACGACCATTTGTCCGGCTGTGCTTTGGCAAATGCACCTAACTCTTTTGTTAGCCAATGAAGTGATATAGCTTTACCTCCAGATGGGCTTGACACTAGCAGCTATATGAAGCATAATTTTGAAAACTCTTTTTTTATGAGCCCTTTTGATGAGGATGAAGTGTTTGCAGTTTTTAGAAACTTGGAGAACTCCAGGAGTCAAGATGTAGACGATTTTAACATCAAAGTGATTAAGCATACTCTCAACATAGTGGTACCGGTGTTAACGTATATATTTAATCTATCATTTTCTTCTGGTGTTTTTCCTGAAGCAAGGAAGTGTGCTAAGGTTGTCGCTTTGTTTAAAGGTGGAGACAAGAATACGTTTAAAAACTACAGACCTATTTCTCTTTTATCCATTTTTTTCTAAAGGTCTTGAGAAAATCATTCATAAAAGACTTTATGTTTACCTAGAAAAATTTTCAATGATTTCTAATAGTCAGCACGGTTTCCGAAAATATTGCTCAACTGAATCAGCACTGTTAGTACAAAAGCAACAAATTATAGAATGTTTTGAGAATAAAGAACTCATCATGGGCATATATATTGACTTCTCCAAAGCGTTCGATTTAATTAATCACAAAATTTTGTTCATGAAGCTAGAAAATTACGGTATACGTGGAACTACTGTCGACCTATTTAAGTCATACCTACAGTACCATACGCAGTTCATTAATAATAATAACTATTTTTCAACCATTCAAAAAAATTAGAACTGGTGTACCTCAGGGTAGTGTGCTTGGACCACTCTTGTTTATAATCTTCATAAATGGCACTGAAAATTGCGTACCACATGCAAACCTTGTGTCTCATGCCGATGATATGACTATTTTTATTAAAGGCGGCTCAGCAGATGATATAGAAAGGAAAGCAATAGGAGTTCTTTTAAACATTGACTTGTGGACCAAAGTAAATGAACTAAAAATAAATCCTGAAAAGACTAAATGTGTGCTATTTCGACCTCGAAGTAGACAAATATCTTATTCGTTTCAAATAACCTTAGGCTCATCAACACTATATTCCGCGACAACTTTTCTTGGCAATGCAGTGGAAGGTACAGGCCCGCGTTCCCTCTCATTTTGAGTTAGCGTGGGCTCTCCTCCTCTGCCCGGAAATGGGGGAGGAGGAGAGCCTGCGTACACTCAAAATGGGAGAGGGGACGCAGGCCTGTACCTTCCACTGCATTGCCAAGAAAAGTTGTCGCGGAGTATAGAGGTGGTAAAGCCGGTAAAAACACTGGGTGTACTTTTCACTGAATCATTATTGAATGAGCGTTGTTGAACATGTCCATAAAAGCCAGTAAATCTATTGGTCTCCTTTGTAGAAACCGCTATGTCTTTCCAACAAAAGTAAAATTACTTTTATATTACTCTTCGGTTTATACTCACTATGTATATTGTTATTTAGTTAGGGGCCAAACAACAAAACATAACTTAACAAGACTACTACTAACCCAAAAGAGGGCTATGAATTGTTTCAAACGTTTCTTTTTTTGCACCCTTCTAAGGAACTCTTTTTCAAGCATAGTTGGTGACTTATAATGTAGCCTTAAAACATAACAATACTTTTTTTTATTTCTGCACCGTCATGTTTAACTAAGTTAGATGATAAATACGTTACCCACCATGGCGAGACCTGGAATGTTTCAACACCCCGCACTAATTATGGTTTTACATGATTAAAGTATGTGTTGCCATCTTTACTAAATGAACTTGAAGCAAATGATGTGTGTATATCTGGAAAGTCAAATCGAATGTTAACGAAAATACTACTACAATCCCATTTTCTATATGATACCATGTAGTGTCACGCATGTGTTCTGAAATTGTTTCTATCTGAGTGGCATATGTCTTTTAGTTATCTTTCTACATAAACAAGTATGATGATTGGAGTGGTGTGCTGGTCTATATTCAATTTTTTGGGTCTAGTGTATTTTTATTTTCCGCTGTTTTTCTGCCAAGGTGTGTATGGGAACTAGGGCCTCGTCAAGCTGCAATAGCAGCTTTTTGCCCTCTTTTCCACCTTTTTTCGTTTTGTACTGAAAAAAGGAAAATTAAAGATTATTACTATTATTATTATTTAATCGTAAGACAGCTCTGATATCAGTTTCGGCCACCGCTCCCGCGTAAAGGCCCGTTCACATAGTTGCAACCTCTAAGAACCTGGTGCCTTGGAACCTCTTAACCCCTTGCCTACTCATTTTTTTTCTTTAAAGATCGTACAGAAAGCTTTCTTTAAATCAAGCAATTTGCGTCAAAATAAAGAAAAACGTTTCCTTGGCTTTCAGGCGTAGTCTCGTGCTCTATACCAGGACTTCTGGTCGTTTCCTCTTCTTCAGTAGTTCTTCACAGTATGATAGAAATCGAGAGATTAGCAGAAACCTCGCATAGGACATCGTTTTGCCGAAAATTGGGGTCTCCACTATGGACCTTTGGACCAGTTCATTTTGACTGTGTGTTTTTTCACTTGCGTCATAATGATGCACAAGGCAAAGTATACCTTTATCTCATCCGGAGTGGTGTCAAACCATTGCTCCTCATAGCATTTCTTGGGACGATCCTCGTCGCCCATCTCTTGTTCGGCGTAGTGATTTGTCTCAGCAGAGACAGACGCCCAAAAATCATGACTTGCAAACACGGAAAAGGTCGACAAGGCGCTTGTCTTCTCACCAAGACTGCGTTGAACCCTTGCTGACACACCTGGGGTTTCTACAAAGGTGAACTGAGCAGGCTGGTTGTCCCTCTTCTCCCAGTTCCACTGACGTGCAGACGCCGAAGTCGATGAAATGCTTCCAGGATTCGCATCGTTTTCAACACTTTTCTCACTGTCCGTTGAACTCTCATCGGATTCCGAGTAATCGAAAAGGCAGCAGGATTCGTCGTCAGAAATACTGGCGCATTCATCACTTTCAAAAAGAAGTCCTTGTATATCTTCGTCCGCCAAAGCAGACCTCCGCGCCGAAGACATGTTTTTGGCGCGCTTGCTTACAATAGCGCGCTTATTTTTTGTCAATGGAGCGCCCTCTCTCTGTCAAAAGGCAAAGCAAACAAGAAAAGAACCCAAGGTAAACAGGAGCAACAGGGGTAGTGCTGCCATCTGCCGCAGAGCTCACAAAACAAGCTCTGAAACCGAAACACGAGTCACACTCGTGGTCGGGTTTTATGGTCCGTAAATGGCGGCACGAGTGACACTCGTTATTAGTAGGCAAGGGGTTAAAACAAGAGGACACACTGGCGCCATCTATTGGGTAGCACTGTAAACTTGGCGGTCCGGCATATTTTCTATTTCTCTCGCGCATTATCCTGTCTTTCTTGGCTCGAAAAACTGTTGTCAATGTTATAAATGAGCCTTTCTTATAGGTATTATGCACATTTGACCTCGGAAATCCCGTAAAACCTTCGCTCTTGTGAAACGCAATTCCAGGGTCACCACAGGGAACACACTGGCACCAGAATGCCAGTGTGTTCTCTAGACCTAAGAAATTTTAAGAGGTTTCATAACTCCCGTCTCTCTCGGTCGTACTCAGTTGCAAGAATGTGAACGGGCCTTTATATTTAACAGTGGAGCACACTGTACATGCAAAGGGTCGGCGGAGTATCGGGTATCGTTATCTAAGCCATCGGAACAATGTACTCAAACTCCCTATTAGGAATAGAGGAAAGCCTCATTTTCCTAGCTGAATTTTGTAATTAGGAATGCACATATGGAATTGCTTTTTTTACTTTATGGATGCATTTAGTAAAAACATTTTCATATTTTGTAGAACCAAAAGCAAAAAAGTTGGTTTTGCAGACCAATGTTTGTACAGAAATAAATTACTTATTACAAATAACTGTTTCACAACCATAGTCTCCAGACACTTTGCTTTGTATCTTGCTAAAACAAAAAAAAAGGTGGTTATTAAATTAGTTTTTATGATAGACTGACTAAATAATGTTGGTGTGCCCCTGATAGAATGGCTGTAATTTTCTGCACAATTCATGCAGAGCTGAAACTTTTATAGCATCCTTTATCATGATTAGCAGTTTATACTGCAATTTTAAATCATGTATTATCAGGGGTTCAAAAGCTGACCCTTCTGAGCAGTGTCCTCCTATAAAAAGAACTCGCAAATAACAGGAACATTTTGAACCAGCGCACTGTACATGCCATTCCTAAACATGTAAAAATCTATAGTGATACAACTATTATAGACTACGTGTTAGACAGAATATCAGGGAAAGAAATATGAACAAGCTGACCTTGGTTGGAACTTTGGCTGTGAGGATAAAAAACCTACAAGATGAAAATGCCTGGAAGAAAAAAATTTAGAACACTGTTTCAATTTGACTGCAGGGCTAAAGAACAATTGGAGGTAAAAATGCTCCAGCGAGTTTGAGGAGCACACCAAATAATGAAAAGAATTTAAGCTTCTTTAAGTCACAAGCAGTATGACCTGTCATTAGACTTAGCAGCAAATTCTAGTATCACTGAACAATAGGAAAAAAAATGAGACGATTACAACACCCTGTAACGCCGAATTAGAGCGCAGCTCTTGAGGAGGAGGGAAGGGTACTGAGGAGAGGGTATACCCCTCCTCCTCCCTGCTACTTCTCCTTTTCCTCTTCCTCTCCCTTCTCCTTCTACCCCTCCCCTCATCCTTCAGCTCCTCCCCACTTCTCCTCCTCCTCCCCTCTCCTCGTCCCTGCGCATTGCATCATGGGATATGTCCTATAATGCACCGCGCAATTACACCGACGGCAACGGCGACGCCACACAAGCCGGAAACAGGCGCCTAAGAGCTGCGCTCTAAAAAAACGAGACTTCGCAAGTCACAATTTGCCACAATTCAGGAATATGAAAAAAGTTGTACAACCTGCACCAAGCACGAACATTCACTGAAAGTCCAATAGATTAGAGGTTGTAGATCTGTTCAGCATGTCCAAATCACAAACATTGGAGGCACAAATATCAAAGGCTCGATGATACCTGCGAGCCTCTGAATGTCCACGGCTCAATAGTTTATGCACTTAGATGAGCAGTACCAGAAGGGATAGTGATGGGTGAGCATTCAATTATTTGTCTCCCACTTGAAAACAACTAAGTTTGAAGATGGCATAAACAAAAGAAAGATAAGATGTTGTATGCTTATCAAAGGGTAACTCCGGTCAAAAGTCAAACCAAAATAAGTGACTGATATCGATTTATGGAGACTAAATACGAGCACTGCCAAAATATTAGACTAATGACAAACTGTGATCCACTCTAAAACCAATATTAAAAATGCTACCACCAGCTTCTCGGTGGGCATTCAGCGGGTTGGCTGTCTGTCAAGCAACCTTGTGTCCACTGTCATGTTCATACTCAAGGAGGTTACTTGTTCATACTGCCTCATCTTTCGCCATGTTTTCAGCTGTCCCAGCGGATGATTTCTGCTCGTTATATAATGCTTTGCAAGTGCTCCTCAGCGATCGCAGCACACAAAGATTATTGACTCCCTGCTGGTTCAAGCGCGTCGTGGTGCTGAAGTTGGCATTCACTGGCGGCCATGGTTTAGTCCATTTCTGCTCAGCGCGAGCTTACGATTAGCTTCCACAATGCTTCTGAAACATGCATTGCACACCACCAAGATTGTAGTTCTTCACAGAAAGTAAGTGGGGGCTCGTTCTGAGCCTAAGCTAAGTCTGCGTTCATTGTGGCGATCTCGCTTTTCAGCCGGTAACTTTATGAATGTGTATTAATATTTGCTCCAGATGTTTGATATCTACGAAACAAAGCAGTAAAATAGCCATAGCATCTTACCAGACTGATCGGAACTGCTCTTGCAGCTAGGCCAGTCGTATGTTTTGTAGTACCGATGTACAAACTTTGCATCACACAATGGCCATGCCGCTGATCACAACGGTTGCCATCATGCTCAAGCCGGTAGTTTCAGTTTCACCATAAACTCCCGGAACAAAACTTTGAGATAAGATATCTACAAAACTACACAAGGCACCGGAAAAAAAAACACGACACCTCATAATTCAGGGACACTTCCTTCACTAAAAACAGTCGTAACCCTAAAGTCTAAAAAATGTACCAAAGTTACCCTTTAATAATAAAAAAAAAAACACTTTGTCATGAGGCAGTAATGGGGTCCCCTCAAAGGAGCATAGAGAAGCCCAACTGGAATGCAACCCCTTAGTAACACCTAAAGAAGTGAGAGGCTCTTACCAAGGTTTCATGGCAAACATTTTAACATTTCCTAATTAAAATTCCCCCCCCCTTTCAAATTTAAAAATTTAACAATGGTTTGGCACGCCACCTTCTGATGTGGTTGGCTGGGCCACATATATGTATCAGAAAAGGGGGATGGGAACGAGAGAGGAGGAAAGTTTCAGGAACTTGCAGTCACTTCACGGTCTCCCGACATTCTCAGTCATGTGGAACAGCAGGAAAAGAGAAGCCACCAAAGCAGACACCTAGTACCATTAGAGCGAACCCTCATTAAGAAAGGTAGCTCTGTATCAATAGAGGAGCTAAGCATTTCACAGCATCCATAAAAATGATAATGCCTTTCCCATAAAACCCCTTGTGTAGTCGCTACTCCACGCCTTGTCACAACGTTGTTTAGGAAGAACTTTTCCCAAGTCACATGTGGGGTAAAACCCGAATTGTACTTTTAATTTCACCCACAGATATTGATTACTGAAAGGGCTTACCAGCACTCGATTCTCAGTTTTCTCTGGCTTGATCTCCAAGCGCACCATACACTTGAAGGAGACCTTAGCATTGCGGTCCAACACATGACGAATGCTATCTGTAAATTTAAAAGTATCTATATATTCCAAAGACTTGAATGAGTAGAGCATAAGTTGCAAAGACTCTGCCATAAACAATGGGTCAACACTAAGTCTGTTTCAGCCCTTCCGTTTATTTTCGTTTCTACCCCACCCCACCTTCCCCTCTTCAATGCAACTGGGTTTGCACTAGCTGCCCAGATGCCAAGGAACGGCCAGCTTACCAAAACAGACCCAGGGGCTCCTAGAAACAAGGCTGGATAAACAACTTTGCTCTCCGGAACGGGACTTCTGCTGGGGGTCCAGCTTCTTTTTTTAAATTTCGAGAGGTTTTACAAAACTTCTACTGCCTGCACATTATCAATGTGCTGCACAAGGAACAAAAACTTCCAATCAAGAACCAAAGAAAATCTACTTCCCAACGAAACTGGCTTTCAAAGGTTCGAAGTTTACTTCTCAACGTAAATAAAAAAAAAAAAAACGATTAAAACAGGTTTGATGGGGACTGCTTCTTTCGTTATTCTCAAATTAAAAAGGTTTATTGCAGCCGCTTCGATCAAGTAGTACAAATAGCGGTCTTCAGCCCAAAAATGCGCAACGAGTAACGTGATTTTAGGTGATTAGCACCACCTAAAACACCAAATGTAAACTAAAAATAAAAAAAAAATAAAAAAAATCAACGTCGATAATATGTTATCAGCGCAAAAACGTACGTCGTAGGAGATATAGGCTCGGAACCTGTAACTCCCACGACCAACCAGTTTGCTGATAAGAAGTATCCGTGCTCGATTTTATTCCTCGGTGCTGCGCCGTGTACTGCGTCTACGAACCCGCGACACTTCCTCGCGCATGAGATCACAGAGCTGCGTACAACAGCGCCAATCTCCTGCAACAACATCCAGCTGTCTGCTTTTTTATTAATTAATTAATTTATTTATTATTTGGAAATTAGCCAAGCAGCAGAAACAAAGCCTTGGCGTTCCTGCAAGTCTCAATTCTTTAACGATTAATCATAACAAAACGTGTAAAAAAAATCTAAAAAAAAAAAAAAAAATCGACGAGCTTTTACCACGTAAAGTCGGCCGGAGAGACCGAGAACGAAGAATATAAAAGGTGGACAAAAACGCCGTAGCACATGAGACACCGGAAAAACAAAAACAAACAAAAAATTAGAGGGGGGAGAGAAGGGGGGAGGACACGAAGTACGACTGGTACGACGACAAATGAAACTCCTCGCAGCGTCGTCAGGTAAAGGTGACTGAACTCGTTATTATACAGACAGCACTCACGCTGCGGTGGCGAAAAGTAAACAAGCGCTCTCCGTCAGTACGTTAACCGACAGAAATCCAGCAAGTACTCACACCAGTAGATGGCATCGTAAACGCAATTTAAAAAATCTGACACCACAGGGAAACACAAGCAAACGCGAAAGATCAGCTGCAAAGGGGCGTATCTTTATTTCTCTCTCTCTCTTTCTATATATATATATATATATATATAATTAAAATCGACAGACAAAAAAGTTGAGGAAAATATCGGGCAACTGCACATGTGAAAACGGAAAAAAAAGCAAATCACTTTTTTTTTTTCTATCCTCGTTTTTACAGTGATATAATAATCGACGGGATCATACAAGTTTTCACAACTTTAAAATTCAAGATGACGGGAGCAACATGATGTGCCACACAGCACGGTTAAACAAGCCGCACGGCTTAAAAAAAGGGGAAAAAAAAAAAAAAGAAAAAAGGAAACAGGCATAACACTAATTTGCTTTCTAAATCCGGTTCATAAGCACGCAGGATAATCATTTCAGTATAAATGCGCTTACACGCTCAAATAAAGCACGCTGGAAATTCACGGATTTCGCAGGCCGCGCAACGAACATGACAGGTAGCAAAGCACTGATCCGTTCACAAGAATAAACACCTACCGCTCAGCTCCTTGGTGATCGCGTTCTTAGCAGACATTATTCCGCTTCAGGGTCGTCCTTTACCCCCAGACACATCCGTGAAACCGTAGAACCTCGGCTCGACGGCAAAACCATACCCACGAACCGATTAATGTATTTTGCAGAGCAAAATTCCACTATCGAGCAAACCGAACACTGCTACCGAGCTGCCATTCCCAGTTTTTGCTCTGACATTAACTGCGGAGTCGTTATTTTTATTTTTTTTTATTTTAAGGTATGCTGTTTGTAAAACAAAACTAATGCAGTTTTGTGGTTAATAAATAATAATTTTTTTTACTGTTTGTTTAATTTTTTTTGCTGATACCTATGAAATTTTTAATTAATTGGTGCGGAGCTTCAAATGGCTGCCCTCATTACTCTTGTTGCACTGATCTTGTGCTGACGCTGTGGTCTCCGTTCGTGTTGGCTGGCGTCAACCTCCTTGGTTCGTGTCAAGTGCACGACCTTAACTGCTAAACGGACGTTAAGCAAGTCGGAATGAATAGCATGCTCAAGCTGTCTAAAAACGTTTCCATGCTCCGGAGCACGCGCACGAGAGGTTAGTTTTTGAGTCTTTGCGCGCATGTTATATTTGCGTCGATGCCGGGGTGATTTCTTTGGACAGCAGTGTTTAGTGAGCAGCGCGTCGCAGCCTAAAAGAACTTGGAACTCTTTGATAACAGCTGCGACGGACCATGTGTGAGAAGAATTCTGGCGGCTTTGTTTCAGTGGCAACAGAATTGTTGAATTCTGGCATGTATGCGGACACTAAAGCCTACCTATGCGGCGATGTCCCGGGCTCCAGCATTTTCAGTCACGGCTGGGACCTCGTTTTGCCTGCTGTGACTGCTTTGGAAAAGGAAAGCGATGCGGGTTCCAACGAGGGCGTCGCACTTTGCGAAGACGTGCTCAGAGAAGTCGTGCGTCGTGGCAACCCTAAGGAGGTGATGGTTTCCCTGCTCGAGCATCTGGCGTTGGTCAAGTCCAGCGGAGGTTTCGAGCTTGTGCTTGAATGCTTTCAAGAGCTGCTCCGAAAACTGCCGGGGAACAAGGTCAAGTTTCTAGAGTGGGGTTTAGAGTCCTTCTACGGGTACGTGGCACGCCTACCGAATCCTGAAAATCACAACTTGGAAGACGAAGAAGTAGCTCTTTTGGACGCTGACCCCGCAGTGCGGAAAATTAGTCGAAGCCTCGAGGCGATGACGACGCTTCTTGCAAGCTGCGTGAACTCTGCAGCGAGAGGCGGCCAGGCCACTACTCCAGGTTGTGGTCAAGCGACGGTTGAGCAACAGCTGCTCTTGAAGTACTCTATCAAGTTTCTGGGGCGAGTGTCTGTTTTGGACATCACGTCACACCCGAATAAGGCAAAGAGTGCTGTACGGCTCTGCACGGAAAAGCTGGTGAACCAGATAACGAAGTTATCCAAGGACCTAGTTGTGCTTTGCCTCCACAAAGTGACTGAACTGAAAGACCATGAGCTGGCACACGAAGACGATAAGGACGAGAAGGAATTCGTTGCACCCATCAGCCGTGCGGTGCTTGCCTACTTGATCTTTGTTGAGTGCCTGGAGCCAGATCATGTGCCACTTGTATATTCGAGTCGATACTTGTTTGAAGAAAACTTGAAAGGCATCCTGCTTCTGCTGTCTGAGAACTATGGAGTTGTTGTTTCGAAGGGAGTTGCACTCTCTGCATGTTTGGTGTCTCGCTTAGAGTTTTGCCAGTACTGTTCTTTGGACTTGGACAACAGTGACTTCACAGCACTGTTCCTTTGTCTCAACAAGGTGATGATAGGTTGTCCACTAAGGGCTGTGCGAGAAGGTGCTCAGAAGGTGGTGGTTGATTTTTTCCAGTGCTTTGACAGTGCGGCTAGATGTGCTCTTTATTGCCGTTTGTTGCAGGTAGAAAAACATGCAGGCTTATGTGGCTTTCTGCTCGATCTCTTCAGAAAAGATCTGCACGAAAGCCTCGTAGCTGTGGTTCCCAACAATCCATTTGTGGGGAACAACTTTGTGCAGCTTCTCAAACTGGTCTGCAAGCTTCCTGAGCAAGAGCACACAGACCTTCTCGACAACAGTGACTGTATTTTAGCTGTGCTTAACCTGTTGCGCTACTTTGCAACAGTGATGCAGCAACACGCTCAAGATAACCCCACCACTTGCTTGTCCGTCTGTACGATTGCTGAGGCATACACCGAAGACGTCAAGAAGTTCCTGGACTTAACGAGAGCACACTACAAGCTTGAGTTAGACCGCAACAAAGACCGTGTCAAGATGTCATCGCGACCTGCTAACAGCACATCACTGAGCAAGGGGGACAGTCTGTTCCCTAGCCTGCCTCCAGACCAAGAGGCCGAGGTCCTCAAGGTGGCGTTAGTGAGACTGGACCTCTTGGAAAGTGTTCTTGTGCTTGCTCAAGAAAAGATAGGGGCCTATTCAGCCAAGTCTGCTTCTCGTAATTGTGACTAGTTAAACCTGTTTCAGCATATATCTGCCTTTCAGTTTCTGATGACATGTTATATCTGTAGTTGTGACCAGTTAACCTTTTTCAGGATAAAGATTGGTTTTCAAAACATGCTAAGAGTACCGTTGCTTATCCCAGCACATGCTGACTCACAGTTGGCATGTGTGCCCTTGCTTATTGTATTTTGCTTTTCAGGGCACTTTGGTAAAAGATTAATTTTATGCCAATGAATGCACAGGACAGGGATTGTAACATTAAGAATTGTTTCCATAGTGCTAAAGTTAAATTTTTCTCACGTTAGCAATGATGCCCGTTTCTCAGCTGGGCCACATTAATGTTTCCCATCCTTTCCCAGCGGCGAGTTACCATGCCTACTCTACCAATGCTGAAAAGACTGTACACTCTGAAGCACAACCAAGTATCAACGACTGGGTTTCTGGAGCTTCCCCAAAAGCAGATATAAAAAATGAAATACTGAAGGCTGCCCTTCACTTTGTTCCACAACATGGGTGGACATGGAAGTCAATTGCTGCTGGTAAGGCACTGCATAATACAATAGCTGCTGGCACACATTGGAGACTGGTTTAATATAGCATTAAAGGTCGCATGTAAATTTTGATGCTAGATTATGCATAACTATCATATCTGGTTGTAAATTCAGCTTCACATTAAATTTAGCTAGTATTCTAATTTGTATACATTCTCTCTAGGAGCCAACTCCTTGGGGCTTTCGACTGTCGCACATGGACTTTTTCCTGGTGGTAACCTTGACCTTATCACATTTTTCTACTTAACATGCAATGATGCTCTCGAAATGCAACTTTCAAGCGATATTCAGAAAAGCAGTCCCAGGTCAGTACTATGGAGACAGTTGTACCTAACAGGCCTGTCACGTGGTATAAAACATAAATCTGAGCTTTCTGCACAGGGGAGCTTCAAAGGACAAGATTGCATTCATCCAAGATGCAGTTTGGAAACGGCTACTTCTGATGGCACCTCATAAGGAGACATGGGCACAGGTGTCTTCATCTTCACAAATGTCCTAATTTGCATAGCTAGTGCACACATTTTCAAGTTACACCAAGATTGTACCTTTTTGCCCTTTCATATTGGCATCAGGCATTGGGAATCTTGGCTCTGCCTCAAAACATGCCAGTTGCCCTTTCGAATCTTCTGGATCTGCTTGACATCATCTGGCATGAAGCGGGTGATGGGTCCATTGATGTACGTATTCTTCCAAGGGCGTCCATTCCCCTGGTTACTTCAGTACAGTGCTATATACTGGAAAGATCTTATCCTTGATTGTGTGCATTTCATGTCTTATGTATTAATAATGCATAAGACATGTAATATGTATTAAATGATTTTAATTTTTGTTCTGTCCAGATGAACTGGTACTATAAAAGGCTGACCCTAGCTGCCCTGTACCAGAGCACAGAGCTTGTGTTTGTAGAAGATAAATCTGCCGATTTCAGCCAGACATTAGAATTCTTAGAGAGACGTTCCAAGGACTTTGCTGCCCTGAACAGCTGCTCTCAAAAGGTATGCTCCAAGCCCTGTTAGTGGCTTGTAATTTCCCTTCTTTGAAGAATGCATAGGTCGTCATCCACTATATTAAGATCTTTTCTAGTGACAGCTGCATATATTAATTTCCAGATAAGCCAAGCGAGGAATACTGCCACAGATGTGGCTGAGCTGGGATTTGCAACGGTAAGACTATTTTCTTTTGTTCTTGCCAGTTGATTCGGTCATTCATTCATTCATTCATTTTGCAGCTTAAAAATGTACTACGAATGAACACCTGGTGATTGAAGACCAGGAATAAACTTGGATGTGCCCCTACACATGGAACTTAAGACTTGCGTTGCAATTCAAACATGTTGGCATTGGCGCATATGGTGCAGCCACGCAGGTTCCTTTTAATAAAACTACTAAGAAAATATTTTTGGGGATATGTTTTATGATCAGGTTTGTGACAGGAAACCTGTAAGGTTCAATGAGTTGCTGAGGCTTTGCAGAGCGATTTTTTAAAAGTGTTCCGCAAATTACACCAATTATGAAAGCGTTAACCAGCTTTAGAAAATTATTGACCAGTATATTATGCACTTCAATAATGTTCATAAACACAAAACATGCCATTGCATGTATTTGAAGATTGTCTCTTAACGCTGCTGATAAAACTCAGTTTTCCGATAACTTGGCGAACTGTGGAAGCTGCGGCACCCGCGACCCAATAAGGGTGCCTGAGCAAGGCACATAACACTCCATGGTCGAGACTACCGGGACCTCGTTACCGCCACAGCAACAAAGCCCTCCGCTACAAAAAGTAGTTCTAGGCTTCTTTATCCTTTAACTGCAATTGAACTGTCGTGATTCCATGTATAACGAGGAGATAGAAAGAATAAGGAATAAATAATCACAAATTTATGAGTTTCAATTATGTTTAAACCAAAAAAGTGACGCCACATCTGTATCTGCCTGATTTTTTCTGCCTTGTAGCGCCGTGGCTGTTGGCGATAGCAGCTTTGTAATTGGCCATTTCCACTCAAAACATTGCACTGTGCCCTGACATTAGCACCCATCGCAGATTCGCGATTGAGTGTATGGTTGCCTTATGAACTGTTTCCGAAGTGCCAGCTATTCTAGTGGACAGATATGTTGGTGCGGTGCACATTCATCCAAAGTTGGTTAATTTCGAAGCAGACGACTATTGGCTAAAAGACGAAAGCTGGTTCCCCCGGGCCTCGCGCCTCGCATTTGGTGTGAAGGCACAAATGCTCCCAAGACATCGGGGTCCGTGCCTCACTCTGCTCATTTTGGGTCGCGGGGCCCTAGCCTCCACAGTTCGCCAAGTTATCGTGTAACGGAGTATAGAATCTGACCAATCGAGCCTACGACCGTGCACGCACTTCTGACCAACATGGGACCAAGCAATGGAGACTGGTTGCCATGATATGCATAGTTTGGAGCATGTCAATTCATCTGCAAACCAAATATATCCTTGGACGGTTATATACACAACACTTCACACGAACAAGTGAGTGCTGTTTTTTTCCGTGCATCTTTGGATCAATGAACTGTCATCAAACCACTTGTATGGTGGAAGGTGCTCACTTGGGACATTAACTGAAGCAGTTATGTTTGGTGCACTTTAGAATGCTAAAAAGCACCAATGCTGTATTTGTGCTAACAGTTTACAAACCCTAACATTGCACAAATTCATTAAATAGCCTTAAAATAAACTCTTTCTAAGAATATGTTTTTATTGAAAGTCGAGGCACATAGTGAATAATTAACAAGCTTTGTATGTATAATGCTATGTACAGAATCCGGTAGATATAGGTATCTCGGTAAATCCTTGCACACGAAAACGGGCATTTCGATGCCCAATGGGATCCACATACGAGTCCATCATTCCATACTGACAAAAAGCTGTGCCATATTGCTGTCGCATCTCTCTGCTTCTGAACAATAACTAAACCACCCCCCAATGAAATCAATGGCAAAAAACAAAACGTCAGTCTCCAACGACATAAAAGCCCCATTTGACATTGCAGTTTCAGACGACTATGTTGTGCTCGCTTTGGCCAGGCCCATATTGCTTGAGGTAAGGAAATAAATGAACCTTTGTTCCATGCTCTCTCCAAATATAGAGTGCCTGTGGCCAGAGTGCGCTTAGCACTGCCGCATAAACTGCCCCGGCGAAGGGGTCTATCACATTGCGGGAGACTGCACATGACAGTGACGTGTAAACTCCTATGCATATCACAAGGGGAAAGGTGAGATTGCATACCCTATGATTTGTTGAAAGATGCCGACACCATTTTCCAACATCTGACAAGCTCCGAGAAAGAGCATGCCAGACGTGCATAGTCTCTCGAGTAGGAACACCTGGAATTGCTTCTATTGCATCTGCTGGCCCCTAAACTCGGCAAGCATCTCAATAAAGTACAAATAAAAAAAATTAAAAAAAAAAAGCTATTACTGACTACTTATAATTTACTGGTCTTTAAAGCTACACAATAGAAAATGTAACACTACTGAAGCATAAATGATTTTAATGCAGTAGTCAACTAACCTTTCCATAAAGATTGCCATGTCAGCAGATGACCTAAAACATGATTATCATTGAGAAACTTAAGCTAGTATCGTTATCAGAAAGGAAAAACAAATTGGCATATCTACCTACGTATCACCTATCACAAAATGAAAATTCAAACTTTGAGCTAAAGCATAACTGTTCCTGTGTGTTGCTTCCATGTTCAGTAAATTAACAGTCCTGCAAGAGTGGTACACAGACAAATTGTCCCAGCAATTTAATAGAAATTGCCTTTAGAATAATGTTGACTGATTAAAAGAACCAAATTGGCTTTAACCCTTAGGCAAATTAATCTGCTCCAAAATCTATTTACTCGGCATGTCAGCTAATACAACATATGGCACTCAGAAACCTGCACACGGTTTCAAAGACAGAAACAACAACAAACAATAGTGATTGCAATGTACAAACACTACTATGGCAGTCTTAAAGACTACACAACTTAAACAACACTATCTCACTCAGTCGCGTCACAAGGGGGAGGGGAGGGGAGGGGAGAGGGGGGGGGGGGGGGGGGGGGGGGGGGGCTACCGCTTCGGGTGCCGTTGACCCTAGTGACGCCACTGATCTCACTGACAATTTCTTCTGACTTGCATGTTTGCCTACGGTTCCTATGACATGTCTTCCGGAAGCACGACCTTGTGCCTTGGAACTTGTGCAAAAGAGCCTCTTGGCAGCACTGGCTACGATTGAGCATTGCCGACCCGGATGCTCAGTCATGTCCTGACAGTGGCCACGGACTGCATCGCACGAGGGCAGAGTCCGTCCCCCGGGAAAATCGAGGGGCAGGCAGTCCACGGCGGTCCTTAGTAGTGGCCCTCCTCAAGGTAGCCCTTGATACGGGACGGCAGCGGTAGGCTCTGAATGTGGTCAAAGCGCGTGTACTGGCGGATCACAAAGCGGCAGAGGTACTGCAGCGAGCGAACGTGCGTGAGTCGCGAGACGGGCCTGATGAGACGCACGGGGAACGAAGGCACCCCGGGGCTGCGGCCCCGCGAGTAGCAGAACACGCCGGACTGGGAGTAGTTCATGGACTCCTGGATTAGATCCACGATGGAAGCGCGGCCCTCCGGATCGGACTGCGCGTAGAAGCTGAACAGTCCGTTGCAGTGCTCGATGCGCGTGTGCAGCGTCTTCCCGTATGACTTGAACGTCAGGCTGAGTAGGTACCTGTCGTCCGAGCTGTCGCGCACCAGGAAGGCACCGTCCGGCTGGTCGGCGAGCTTTTCCTCGGCTTCGCACCTGGTGATCGGGCCCCAGTACCAACCGTGCTTGGAGAGCTTGAATAGTTCTTGGGTCAGGCTGTTCATACGTAGGTCCGGAACTGCTCGAAGGGGAACGCCGCTCGCTGGCACCAGGCTCGACGTGGGCCGTTGACCGTCCACTGACGTCCCATCGAGTGCGGCGCTCGCTTGACCACGAACGTAGTTGTCGTTGGCATCGCTGCGCGGCCCGACGGTCGAGCCGGGAGGTCGCTGCTCTTTGATCTCGAGACTCGAGTCGTCCGGCGGTAACGCAACGGCACAGCAGACGCCAGTCGCAGACGGGACCACTGCGGGACCGCTTGCCTCCGGTACGTCTCTTGGACATTCGGCCCACCTGCTGTTGGCAGTTTTTGCTTTGCACTTTCGCCAATGACAGCGCAACGTTTTGAGTAGACTCGACCGACTTTTGGGCCTCGTCGGCATTCCTGGGCTCGGTAAGTGCTGAAAAGCATCGGGTTCGTGCTCATCCTGCGCCAAGTCGCCATTTGCATTGACCCGTCCCCTTGCTCCGTTTTCTGACGAGCTTTTTCCACACAGCACCATTTTCTTCATAACGCTGAGGGCTTTTCCACGCCAATCATCTGGGCATGGCAGCGACGGAGAGAGGCTCACCTTTGGTTCTAACTGGTACATGGCGGTGGCGGCATCTTTTCTCCCCACCCATCATCTCCGCACCACCTACCTCCTCTGCCTGCCTCAACGAAACGGGCAGGCAAAACAGGCTGATGCCACAATAAATAGAACCAACCCCTGGAATCTCACAATACTTCCCATTGGCACTCCAACTGTTGAGAGCAGCGCCAAATCTCCCCTTACGGGCGTTGGGTTTCTCCAAAAACAATGAAAAAAATCAAGCAAAAATACGGGCGCCGTCGTCATGGCAATTGTTATGCTGCCTGCCATGGGGGAGGAATGTAAACCAAATTCTTTACCAGGGGGAATACATTCCACTTCGCTCATTTGCATTAGACAGAACGCCTACAGCGCCGAATCCAGCCCTGACGGAGGGGAGGTCCGCGTCAGTCCACGGGCATGTGCTCGCGGATGTTCACGGCGGCAGCGGCGGTGTCGTCTCCGATTCCATCTAAAGCCCCTCCATGTTTCAAAAGTAGCGCAAGGTGCGTCGATGCACGAGGCACGTCCAACGTGCAACTACAGTGGCTTAAAGGTAGGGGTGTCGCGAACTTTTGTCGAACCGGATTTTTAGGTCAAACTTTCGGGGTTCGACTGGGTCGAACCGGTTCGACGAACCTTCGAACTTTTCACCAGATTCGACCGGTTCGACTTTGCGGACAGTGTGGCCAGACCTTGATACACGCATGTCTAGGTTTGGAGAATTTATTTTTATGCAAAGGGTTATTTTATTTTATGAACAGTTGGAATTAAAAGAAACCAATTCTAATCACTGAAGACGTTAATAGCTTAATTTTTTTGTGCTGTATTAACTGGAATAACCAATCAGCGGTGCCCTTAATTCATCCCTTAGCCATTACCATCCAATCCGAAGCCAACTGGTCAGCCTGTCGCGCATGCGCACACGAGTCGAACCTTAATACAAGGTTCGTCGGAATTTCCACGAAAAGTTCGAAAAAGTCGAACCTGGTCGAACTCGCACCTCGGCCGGTATCCCCGAAGAAAACGCCTACTACAATTCCCTACTGATCACAATCGGTGAGACGACGACGGCGTTTGTGACGTGGAAGACGGCGGGACCACGGCGGGACCACGGCGGGCGGCCGGATGGGTCCCAAGAAACGCGCTGCGCAGGCGCGTTACGCCAATCACGTGGACACTGCTGAGCGCCGAGAGGCAACGTTGCTGACGTCATGCGCTACGCTCGCCCGGAGAAGTGAAAACAAGCAAAAGGGGGCCATGTAGATGGCGTTTAGCTCAATGTTGGCTCCGCCCATGCCGTAGCCTTGACTGCGCTGTTGGTTGCGCCTAAATTCGCCCGCTCAAGTCAGCCGATTTCGGCAACTTGGCGAGTTGCAAAGTTTGCCGGACCGTTTAAGGAACATTTAGACAGAACTGCGTCGTAAGATTTCACGTGTGGTCTTCCTAGGCGATACTGAAGAGGGCTGCATTGTATTTTCAAAACCAAAAATGAAGCGGAGTTGCCCTTTAAATTGCAAACGCTGTCCAGGTTTTGAGTTGCACCCACCCTCACTAGAGCCTCCCTAGTCATGATACACAAGAGTTAAAATGGAGGAAACTCCAGACTCACTCTTTCCCTAACCTCCTTCGATCCTTTTCTGACAGGTACCGGAGCGTATGCGCGCTCGGGCGTGTCAATCACCTGAACCCAACCTCTACCACTGTACTTGAGCGCGTCCCTAGGAGTCATTCATGTTCCTAACCCCACTACAACCTCCTGGGAGGCCGCTCTACTCAGCTGACGGCCCGAGCGGCAGCGAGCGCTGATCGAACGGGCTAGATGGGTAGCGGTGGCCTGCGGAGCCTTGGACCTGACCCGGGGGAAGGGGGGCGGGGGGGCTTCATCACTGAACAGACTCAAGTTTTTACTGCTACAACCACAACCACTGTGTTGTCACGTGACCCTGCTTGGTCGCTGCAGCGCGACCACCGCTCCGCCATTCGTATGCAGTAAAATCGCGTTCTTGTGAGCGTTGTAGAGGCTGATCAAGCTTTGTCCACCTATCGTGAAACACCCTGTACACATATACTCTCAAGTTTTGAGCAGCGCTCCAGGCGAGCAAAATAGAATATTTGGCTCGCGTTTCGAACATGCGTTAATACGCTTCCCCACTACAGTTTTTTTCTCCGTTCCATTCTAAGTGCCAGCGTAGCAGAGGCCACAAGAGCGAGCTCCGAGCTTTGTCCCTGCCAAGCACGCGCGCTCGTGCAGTGCGAGCATCGTTCAGGGGAACATGCTTTAGCAAGTAGCTTCGGCTTCGCTATCAATAGAGTGAAACATACGGGCTCACGGAAGCCATGAAAGAAAGCAATAAAATAATAAAGCTGAAATGAATGTTTAATTTGTTCAATCCCCACCCCTGCCCGTTTCGATCTGGATGAGCATCGTACCGGCGTGCGGTTGTGTATCACTACCTCACTACTGCGTGATTCACGTTAAAGATCCCAGGCTAGCGGTTGTACTGCACTGGCTAAATTGCTCATCTACAGCTGGGAGACTCGTCGCCCCTGTGAGGCAGACCAAGTTCTAGGCTGTATAAACACACGCACACAACCCAATTTTTGGGACGCTGAGGCCGCGCGCTGCATAATTTTTTTTTTTTTTAAATATATATATACGTTTTGTTATCGCGCGTTGAGATCCTGACAGAGGCTTGCATTCGAACGTAGCACGTGCAAAATCGAACGTTACAGCGCCGCCTGGGTGGTGCTGCCAGCATGACATGGTTGCGTGTTGCGGACGTGCTCGTGCCCCCTGCCCGAGAGCAACGGGTCTAACATCAAGTAATCTATTCACCCATTTTAGAGCGCAGCTCTTAGGGGCCAGTTTCCGGCTTAAGCGGCGTCGCCGTCGGCCTAACCGCGAGGTCACGTGACCCCCAGAAGTCACGTGACCGCCTTGAGGTCACGTGACCCCCTAAGGTCATGTGACCCCCAAAGGTCACGTGAGCCCCTGAGGTCACGTGACCTCAAGGAGTCGCCTATCCCTCAGTACGCTTCCATCTTCCTCCTCAAGAGCTGCGCTGTAACCGGCGTTACAGGGAATTGTAAACGGCTTTAATTTTTTCTTCGTGTTCACAAAACCCTCACAGAACATACAATAGCCCCAAAGTTTTCATCACCTTTTACTACTCATTTCAACTACCCATACTGTATTTTACATGCCACACTACTGCAGAACACAATGCCTTATATCAGATAATTTTAGCATGCTTGTATATTGTTTTGAAGTACATCATGGAACAGCATGCTTGTGCCCCCAAAAAGTGACTCGCGCTGTACACAAACTGTAAGTAACATGATCGCACAATAAGAATGACATTCATACAAAAATGATTTATTACCGGTGCACACTTAAGGATTAATGTCTCATCTATTTACATTAAAATGTTGGGGGTGACAAAAAAAAAATCTGCAAAGAGGACGGTAACTTTCCCCTTTAAAAACAGGTGTAAAACAGGGCAGGGGGCATGGAGTCTCGGGAAACGCTGCCTGCTTCCTTTCACAGGAGGGCATTTGTTGTAGCAGAGTCCGGGAACAATGTATGGTAGCTCATGACAGGAACATAGGCAGCTGTGATGATGCGTCCTGAAAAAGAGTAGGAGCACACATCAAAAACTCTCCTGACCTCAGTCTACTGTTGGTAATGGACTGTACTATATGCAAGTTTGTGAATGCCGAGGGCACAACTATGTGGTACAGGGCTGACAGATTCTCGACTTCAGAGGCACATACCCGTATGCTAGTGATGCAAACCTAATCAATAATGGCAAAAAACAACAAATAGTTAACTATCGATAGTTGGCTCTCAACTGACTTCTGGTAGACATATATCGATAGTTGGCTCTCAACTGACTTCTGGTAGACATATATCGATAGTTGGCTCATGTTAGACTATGGATAGTCCTGTATTAAGTCAACTTGCAGAAAAATATTGCGTGTTGACAGATATTTATAAAAAGAAACAAAGCAATGGGTAGTCTAAAGTCATCATACTACAAAAGGTACATTCAGGTACCATCAGCCCTAGAGCACTATATAGCTCCTTCGGAGCAGAGTAGCGCAATCGAGAACGCCATCTCTCGGGACTAGCGGCAAACGCCCGGGGGTTCCAACTCCGATCAGAAATGCATGGGGAACGTGAGAAAATCATTGTTTCTTCGATATTGGGGGGGATGTACGGAACGTCAGTATTTTTTTGACATAATGAAGGAACATTTTAAAATAATTTGCGCTAAGTTGCGAGCCATGTAAGGACGTAACTTCTTTTTAAAAAATTGCCTGAACGGCATCATGCAGCAGACGACGCGGCGACGTCACAGCGACATCGCAGCGTCCACGTGACCCCCTCCGGCCAACCCAGAAAGTCCCTCTCCGCTGCGCACACAAATCGTCTGCTTCAAACGCCATTGCCTTGGAAATTGCCTTCTCGCAATTTTCACACGCTTCCAACATTATTAAAACTTTGATGAAGTGTTTAGTGCTTTACCAACTTCACGATAGACTAGTTTCGAAAAGTGTGAACTCGGCGTTTATTTTTTAATCCGCCGTGTTGTGTCGATCTCCATGTATTCTCCCATAGAGCGGGCCGCCTCTTGGAACCCTGAGTACCACGTGACTCGCGCCGAGGTGCTCTGTCGGCCATGTTGTCGGCGAAACACGCGGATCAAAGGATTGCGCTACTCTGCTCCGTAGGAGCTATATAGTGCTCTAATCAGCCCTAAGGTCCCACATGGGTATCCACTTCTCAGTTGAGCAAACGCAGTTGTGTTCCCTTATCAGTCACTACATGATGCCATTGTGTAAGAATGCATACTTGGGTAAATTACTTTTGAAATGTAATTTAATTATAACTACCGTATTTACTCGAATGTAACGCGACCACGATTGTAACGCGAAAAGCGACTTTTCAAAGCGCAAAAAAAAAAAAAAAAAGAACACGAATGTAACGCGAGTTAAGCGAGGGGAAAAAAGTGCCTTAAAAAGTACTACAACGTGGTCCGCGGAAGCCTTTTCGGCCGGGTTCACACTTGAAGAGCACTTCACGCTGGAGCCTCCACCCACGGATGGTCGATTCTGTCACATCTACCCGTCGAGCCGCGGCAGAGTTTCAGATTTCCTCAGCCATCATAATTGCACTTCTTTTAAGGCGGGCGTCGTACTGAGCACGTCGCGTGGCCATTTGCTCGAGTCCAGTCGCGGAAGCGCGTAGCAGCAGCTCACAAAACACGGACAACATGGGTACGGTAACCATAACTAGGGTGCCTCAATGTCCTTCTGTTTAGGGTGATGCCACCCTTTGTAGTACCCGATGCCGACAGCACGCGCTCACGGGGAAAATACAAAGAAATCAACGAAAACAAAATGTCGCCATAATAGTCAACGCCACAAACGCGTGAAGGGCCACGCTCTTTCAAGCGCTTCTGAACAAAAAATAAAAATAAACGTGTGGGACAAAATGGCGAGATGCCACCACCCTAAGCAAAGAGCACATGAAGGCACCCTAACCATAACAGAAAGAGAAAGCGTTGTGAAGGTAACCCGTAACTGTGCGCCGGTAGACCTGTGCGCCGGTCAAAAATCGCCGGCGGCGGCGCGCCGGTGTTTGTTCCTCCGGCGGCGGCGTGTTGACGGCGCGGGGATCAACGGATCGGCGGCGGCGTGGCGCGGAAGAGGGAGGGGAGGAGGGGGGGGATGCAAATTAGAGAGTGAGGGGAACAGAGAAAGGAGTCGTTTGAATTTGGAAAACAGGATGCAAATACTATAAAAAGGAACACTTTTTTATGATTATAATGCAATAAATTTATTTGCGTCCGTTAGAAGAATTTGCAAGCTTCACCCCTGTTGGTGTTAGACTGGTGGCAGCTGATAAAACCCGTTTGCTCTACTGACGTCTAACCCCTGGTTAGCTCAGTTGGTAGAGCGCTCCACTTGTTATGGAGAGGTCCCGGGTTCGATACCCGGACCAGGCGGATTTTTTCGGTCGCTCACCAGTCACCTAGCTGTTGTTTGGAGATTTATGTTTGTCCTTTGTCCCCCTTCTCCAGGGATTAATTTCGTCACACTTCGGCTTCTTGTTTATTCTCGTTTGTCAAGGAATATGTCGCCGGCTGGCAGCCGCGGCGCAAGATCCTCCGCAAGACGAGGACCGACGACAACAGGTATTTTATCACCGCGTTCCACCTCACCATGCGCCCCGTGCCTAACAAGTCGACCGAGAAGCCGTCATCACCGACAACGTGTGGGACCTAACCTCTCGTTCGGCTTCGCGGTACTTCGCCGACAGAGCATCCCTAACAGTACTTTACGCTCCCGAAGCTAACCGCTTTGTCGAACGCGCCAACGGAAAAATCCTTCCATGTCCGCGCGAAAGAACGGCGACATCGACCATTGGAGCGATTATCTCCAGGCAACCAGCTTTCAAGTGAACCCGCAGCCGTACGCTGGACTCCAGACATCACCGTTCGAACTCCTGTTCAACTTTGTCGCACGTCTACCAATGGAGGCTTCCTGACGAGGTCGGCGACGCTGCAAACGCGAACCTCGCTTACCTTCACGGCATGAAGCGTTCCTACGATGCAAAACATCGACCAGCTCCATACAGCGTCAGGGACAGGGGACAGGGTATAGTACACGAACGGCTTTCCTACCTCGAAACTTGGCCTGCTTTTCCACGGACACTCAAGTCATCACCAACGTGAACAATCCGGGTTTACCCCGCAAGGCACACCAGATTGCCGCAAAGCTGCCGCACGATAGTTTTTTTTTTTTTTTTGTTTAACGAACAACCTGCAGCGATTGACGTCGATTTCAACCAACTCGCCTTGCACCGCGGCAGATCCTCCGATTACAAGTGCATCACGCCGACGCCGCTTTCCACGATGGCTAGACGCATAACAGTGGATCAATGTGCAACGGCTCAAGGATTTTGAGCTCGGGAGTGTAAGCAAATACGCTGGCGGCAAAGACCCGCAAGGAGAGCCTCCCCGACTCGACCGGATGGGGGCTCGACTTCGACCCCCGATACTGGATCCCGGCACTACAAAACGCACGACTCCGACAAATCGTGGAAATTGAAGCGGACGCGCCCGCTTCAAGCCCGCTTCAATTTTCACGATTTGCCGGCGTCCAGCATCGGGGCTCGACTTCGACCCCCGATGCTGGACGCCGGCGGCATCCCGGCGTGGAAACGAGAAAGAAGGACCCCTAGAAACACGATGAACAAGCCAGGCGTGTGGGTCAAAATAAAATACGTTTGAAAGAAGCCTGAAAACGGACGCGAATATAGCCCCCTTGTATCAAATTATTTCACAAAGTTTTCATTAAATCGTTTTACGGTCTACAAAACCGTTCATTTCGTTATAACACTTTCAAAACACAGGCGAGCTGGTGAAGAACTTCCATAGTAACGGGAGGCACAGAACGATAAAAATAACGGACAAGACAACAAATCTCAAACACAGCTTTTATACCCGTTTTCACGTCAAGAACTCTAATAAAAAAAGAGTCCAACTCCTTGCGAACCATTACTAATTTCCACCTTTATGTAGAGAATTAAGATATATGTAGCTGAATTCTACTCTATATATTATCAAGACGTCACGTTCCAGCGCCAAAATCATCGCTTTCTTCTCCGACAACCAAATCTCGTAAGACTGCGTCGCATATACGAACATCTTTGTTTCATGTATGTGCCCTCCCCCTCTGTAATGCCTTCGGGCCCTGAGGGTACTTTAATAAATAAATAAATAAATAAATGCTCAAAACTTTCTTTAAAAAAAAAAAAAAAAACGGGTATAGTTTATTTGAACAACGAACGCTCTTATATATACGTCAAGACCCTCACCACCAAAAAAGAACTCTTTAAAAAAAGAGTATCATCATACACCCTTTTGTCCCATATAACGCACCCCAAAACTTCAGTTCGACGCACAGCGCACAGACGACCATACATTTTTACGAGGTGCTTGATAACGGAGCGATATAACTTATTAAATAGCTAAAGTATGTATCAAAGACCACAGAAAGAAAACACTGAGGTTTTGCAGTAGGGCCAAAAAAACCCGATTATTATTGTTTTTTTTTTTTTGTTTTTTTTTGTAGTCAGTAAAACATACATTAGCTATCTTAATATGTTGTACCACATGGCTATCAAGCCGCTCGTGAAAGTTAGTACTGTCAGATCGACGTCTGAAGTTTTGGGGTGTCTTATATGGGACAAAGGGTGTAAGAATACACCCTTTTTTTAGAGTGTAGGTCACTGAAAGCCGGACATTCAGACAGATCCAAATGATTCATGGTTACACCAACCTGCCACCCAGACGACCCCGCTTGATGACTGACCAGCCACATGCGATAACAGGCAACTCTATCAGAACCCTTACTAATTTGATACATGCGTGACGAGATGTCCCTACAGCGTGCAATTCGCTTAACGAGTGTCGATGAAACGATCGATTCGTGTCGACAAAACGTGTGTCCGTGAAACGTGTGCCCATGAAAAATTGTCTGCGATACGTCATTCCACGAAACGAGTTTCGACGAAATGAGAGGGTCCCATACACCACTCCTGCCTGAAGAGTTACATC